TCCTGACCACGCTGTCAGAGCCACTGACTCCCAAAGGCCGGGTCCCCACTCCCCCCTCTATCCCCGCCCCCAGCCAGGCCCCCTGTGCGGAAGCAGCAGCAGGGGGTCCTGATCCCGGGTGAGCCCCGTGCAGCTCAGCCGGGAGCTCAGCCGGGAGCGCAGAGGCTGCCACTGACCGTGACGATCTCCAGCACTTCGTTCTTGCTGATGCTGCCGTTGCCATCTACATCGTAGAGGGAGAAGGCCCACTCCAGCTTCTGGTTGGTCTTGCACATGCTGGTCATGTGCAGGGCGATGACATACTCCTTGAAGTCCAACGTGCCATCGCTGTTGGCATCAAAGCTGCGGAACACGTGCTGGGCGTAGGCCTTGGGGTCGGCGTCAGGGAAGAACTTGGAGTAGATGGTCTGGAACTCCTGCCGTGTGATGCGGCCACTGGGGCACTCCTTCAGGAAGGACTGGTACCAGGTACTCAGCTCTTCCTCTGTGAACCTGGTGTTCAGCTGCAGCTCCTCCAGGATCTCCTTGGACAGGGCTCCGCTTTTGCTGTTCCCCATGGGTGAGCAGGTGTGGGCCCAGCCGGTCTGTCACCGCTGGGTGGGTGGGTGTGTGGGAGCAATGGGGTCTCCGGGCTGCCTGGCTGGGTGCTGCTGGAGGCGGTTGCACCCTGAGATGCTGGTGGATTAGGAGGATTTGTGGCTGGTTCACCCCTGTACTTGGAGGGAGGAGGGGCCCGGAGCTTGCGTGGGGAGACGAGCTCCCAGAAGCCCCCTGAGATTAAAATAAAGAGCTGACAGCAGGAGGTCAATCCATCTTGGCCTTCTGGGAGGATAGGACAGGTGATCAGAATCTTCAGAGCCGAAGCCTTGAGCCGAGGCCTTTCCCACTGCCCCTCATCCATCCCTGCGCCAACTTACCCCACCAGCTCTAGCTCTCTAAGAGCAACGATGTTCCCTGCCTACCTTCTGCCCTAAATCTGAGGGTCTCAGCGACAGGGATGGCCCTGTAATGCAGGAGTCAGGAGCCAGGCTCTGAAAGCAGCCCAGGTTCAAATCTCAGCTTTGCAATTTACTAGCTGTGTGACCCCAGGTGCGTTTCTTAACGTCTCTCTGCCTAGAATTCTCTTCCCCTAATCTTTCACCTCCTTCACGGCTTTCCTTGAATGTCGCCTTCTCAGCCAGGCCTATAGTGACCATTCTGTCAACAGGAGCACCCCCAAGTGTCAGCACGCCTCAGGCTGTTTATCCTGCTTGATTGCTCTTCCTTGATCGCACATACACCTTCTGACTTACTGTTTATGTATTCTGCCTGCTGCCTGGGATCGCACCAGAAGGAAAGCGCCATGAAGGCAGGGATTCTATCTGTTTTGTTGCCCGCTGCATCTCCATCGCCAGAAGCGTATCTGGCGGGTTTGGGCCCTCAGTGACTATTCTTTGAGTGAACAGGCATGATAATAGCGTCTCTCCCACTGTTATTGTGAGGCTGAAACGAGTTAATACGTGCAACGCATTTAGAATAGAGCCTGGCACGTAGTAAGAGCTGAACGCATGTTAGTTTTTGCCATTATTCTTCTATGACAGGGATCAAAAACTAAACTGCTTACAGGGGCCAGCAAGTGGAGTGTGTGAGTGAAGCCGGGGGTCAGGGAGGCAGTAGGCGTGGTGAGGCCCACGCCTGCATGGCAGGGGCTGCCAGTGTTTGACTCCATTTGAATGTGGTCAGATGGGATTATGGCCTGGTGTTACTAGATTTTTTGGTAAGCCAAAAGAAATCCAGAAATCAGATTTTCAGGTTTGAAAATTGCAATTTGGAAATTTGGAAAAATTGGAAATTTGCAATTTCCGAACTTTAAGAGTGATTTCCAAATTTTCAAAAATTTTCAAAAACATAGGGTGGGATAAATACAACTTATCTGTGGCTCAGTTTCAGCTGCAGGTCATCAGTTTGCAACCAAGCCTGGTGCCAGGAGCTGGCAGACAACATGCTTGTTGAGTGAGTGACTGGACAAGCAGGGGACAGGGAGCTCCACCAGGGGAGGCTTCCACCCCTGCGGTCAGCTCGGTCACCAGAACAGGCCACAGGGAAGAGCCCTCGTGAGTAGGTTTGCACCTGAAATCTCATCACCCAAAGGAGAGGTCGGTGGCGCCCTGGCTTGGCTGAGCATAACGCCTGGAACCCCAGAATCGCCGTCTTGGATGGGAGAGATGTCTCTTCTTTGTCCAGGGGTGGTAACTATAAAGAATAAAGCCCACAGTGTCTAGGCGGGTGAGTTGGGGTTTTTATCCTATTTCGTAACAGGCTAATGGCAGGGGAAAGCAGGTCCCCACTGCTGGGAGAAAGCCACCTGTCAGCCTCCCCTGGTGTTGCTCAGAAAGGACCTGGAAGTTCAGGCACAGATGTGCTGACCTATCCCTCCTGACCACCCCACCCACTGCGGGTCCAGAGTGTTTCTCAGGAGGCCTTAATGTTAGGGGATGGGGTGTGTGTATATGTGTCATTATTTTTTCCCATCAGTTTGTGACAGCATATCATTTCTTCAAAGGAGCCCTTTCTCTTTGTCTAGACTTTCACTGTCTTGCAGCATTTGTTCTCCAGAGCAGTTGGAAACAGGACAGTCACTGAACTCAAAAACAAACAAACAAACAAAACCCAGGCCATGAAAGTGAGGCCACAGGCCTTCACCCTGGCCTCTGAACCTGGCATGGGAGGTGATTAGAAGTGCCTCCTGGGTATCCACACCGAGACTGCAGGTGAGGCGAGGCCGATGTCACAGGAAGAAACCAAGCTCCAAAAGGATGTCACCTGCCTGTGTCACACAGATGCCAAATGGCGAAGCCAGGAGGAAAGCCCAGGGCGGCCTCCCCACTGAGGGCTCTTTTCAAGACATTACAGCAGCCTCCTTTCTCAAGGAGGCCTGAGCAGAGGGGTCAAGAAAGAAGCTGCATTTCTGAAGGTGAGGACCTGGGTTGCCATGACGACGGAAGAGGCGGGTAAGGAGGCAGGGCCCCGGCTTAACACAGAAGGCAGCCAGAGCTCCCCCAGTCCCTCTGCCCTTCCCAAGGGCAAGGAGGAAGGAGCAGGTACTGTCCACATTCTTCAGGTTGCTGTGCCCAGGAGGGGCCCAACCGTGGGAGGGGACCACAGGCAGCTGTGTTGATGCTGCCGAGAGAGGGGTCATGACCTGGAGGTTTGTTTGAAAACCTGAATAAACATCTTCTATCAGAGGGAGAGTTTATGCTCCTTAGCCAAACAAGTTGTTGGGGATGATGTATTGTGAACGGATTTGTTAAGTCTGAGCCGGGGCCATAAACTCTCCCCGAACCCCTAAGACCACTGGGGAGAAGGCCTCGTCTCCGGCCAGTGACTCTGTGTCTCCCCCTCCCGGCCTGGCCTTCATTGAAAGACACAGGCTCTTCCCAGAGGCTGGCCCTGTCCCACCCCAAGCTGGGAGTCCCCCAGCTCCCATCCCGTTCCTCTACCTTCCCCTGCGTGAGCTGAACGGCAAGCGGACCCTTCGACCCCGGCCAGGAAGCAGAGAGGTAAGGGGATTTGGAGAGGGCGGTTGGGAGGCCGAGAATGGGAAGGAACGCCCCTCCCAAGGGCGTCCCCATTGCGGTAAATAGCAATCCATCCTTTGGGTTGCTTGGACCGACATCCTCGGTGTCATCACCAGCGCCTCTGTTTCCGTCACACCCCACTTCAATCTGGCTCGAAATCGTGCTGGCTCCACTTTCAAGGCACGTCCAGAACCTGAGCATTCTCCCCACCTCCACGTGGCCACCCCTGCAGGCACCATCCCCTCTGCCCGAGTTATGGCTGCCCTGGTCCCCTGACCCCCTAGCGAGCCCCACAGCAAGGAAATTAGGCTGCACGGGCTACCCGGCTTGGACCACCCCACACCCCCAGAGTAAAAGTCATAGGCCTTGCAAGGCCTTCCAAGCTCTGCAGAGTCTGCCCGCCCCGCCCTCCAGCCACACTGGCCTCAAACAATTAGGTGCCTCCGGCCCTTAAAGGGGCTACCTCCTCTGCCTGGAGCATGCTTCCCCCAGCTACCTGCCAGGCTTCCTCCCAGGGAGGGACTTCAAAGTCCCAGGTCTCCTCGACTTTGGTCAAATGTCACCTTCTCAGTGAGGCCACCCCAATCACCCTATTTCATGTTGCAACTCACCCACCCTCACCCCCGAAACTACCCATCCCCGCCCCCCACCCTTTCTCCATAACACCTAACATCTTCACACACACTGTATCATTTCATTACTCTGTCTCTTTCAGCTAGAAAATAAGTTCCATGAGGTCAGGGTTCTTGATCTGTTTTCACCACTGATGTGTTCCCAGTACTGAGAGCAGTGTCCGACATACAGTGGTGTTCAATAATTATTGGATGGATGGATAAGAAAAGAAATAACAGCCAGGAGCCTCTTCTGTTCACAGGGACAGAAGTCTCCAGGGGAGGGGACTGGGGCCAGGGGTGTGGGTCTGACAGCGTGATACCCATCGGGGGGGGGGGGGGGGGGGGGGGTCAATGCCCAGGTGCCCTTTGTCCCTCTGCTAAGTCATCGGGGGTAAAATTATCACCAAGCCTGGGAGTATGGGAGGAACGCTGAGCCCATTTGTACAAAGGAGAGTGTGGCAGCCCTCCAGGGAAGAGGGTTGCCCAGTGGGACGACTCAGTGTCTCTGGACAGTTTATTTTACATGGGATGAAGCTAAGCATCTCAAGTGTACACACAGCGCCGAAGGGAAAACAAAGAGAACATTTAACTTCCTGAAAATGCTTTATAATAATGCAGAACAATTATATATAGCAAACGCCTTCAAAATTTAAACCCTTTAAACATTTAACTTTTCAGCATTAATACACACAAATGCTATTACGGGGCTGGGGTGGGGTGGGGACAGGGTGGGAAGGGTGGATTACAGCCTCCATAGGGATCAGAGTTTCAAGAGTGTTACTTATAAATTATAGTACATCAATTTTATTTACTGATCTAGGCAGCCAGGGGATGGAAGGATATACAATGTGGAGTAAACATTCATTCTGGGATGAGGAATGCTGGAGGAGACACCGCTGTTTAACGTTAAAAATGTATAAAGTATTTAGCAAAAGTTACAGAAAACAGAGCAAACAAGCAAGTTTGTTAGAAAATTCCACTTTCATGGGGTTTGCTGATGTGCTCGTTTGTGAAAGGGCTGCCCACCCCCTTCATCTCCTTCCTAAGGGCAGAGATGCAAATTTGGGGCCCCTGTCACCAAGGATGGCTCGTGTCCCTTTGAATGACTGTCCCTGGGTCCACATGGCTGCCTGGAGGCCACAGTCCCGAGAGCCAGTCTGCTGCCGCGTGTGGCGCCAGATGGGGAGCAACTCCACTCGGTAATAACACAGAGGTCCCGGGAGGGGATGTGACTTAACTTCAGGTTATGGGACAAATGAGATGGCAGAGCAGGGCCAGTCCGGTGCTCTTGCCCTGGTACCATATGCTTTCCTTCCTCATCCCCATGTCACACTGTCCCCAGGAGAGCACGCATGTGCCTGACCCCCTGCATCCCGCCGCTGCAATCCCATTAGGAATTTCCCTCAGACACAAAGGGTCAATTCCCCTGAACAGCGCATAGAGATCCAAGTTCATCACAACCCCTCTTCCCTCAGAGGCACCTCCCAACAAAGGCACCCAACAGCCACGCCCCAGCATCTAGAGGGTTAGGGGAAATGGAACATTGGTTTTTGTCACTTGTCTTGGCCTCACCCAAACCAGGAAAGGGGAGTTGGGTCCCTCACTTTCAGAAAAGGCCCGACAGAAATGACTTTCATGGTGTGAAAGTCTTTCGTGGTCCCTGGCAGCGTGGGGCCCTGTGACTTGGGTTCCATGGCCCATACCTTCACCTGGCCTGGACCCAAGAATGTCTTCCATTTGCTGGGAGAGGTGCTGGTTGCCTTCCGGGGCTCAACTTTCACTGAGCAGGGCACGATCAAGATGTGCCTGGAGGAGTTCTTACCTTGGGGGTCAGGCCCAGAGCTGAACAGTGTCAGCTGGGTGCGGCCCTCTCTCTGCCACCATCCAGTACGGTGAGGGCACAGGCCAGGTGAGCAAAGCTCCGGCAGCGACAAGAACCTGAAGGGAGGGGGCTGTGTCTTCATGCCTGTTTATGCTCCTTGGAAGTGACTTTCAGGACATGGTGTCAAAACTTGGTGGATAAAAATTAATGACTTCTGCTTTCTTTAGGGGTGCAAGGAGGAACTACCTCATTCTCAACAGCTCACGAAACTCTTAAGTTTTTGTATCTGAACAGAGAAGCGCCTGGGTATCCCTCTCATGAGGGTGTTAGGTGACATCACGCACAGCCGTGCTGACGGGACACAGATTGGGCATGACGTGGGCACAGGGTACAAAACTGGAGGTGCCAAGGGGAGGAGACAGAATGCAGCAGCTGGAGGAGGCCTGGGAGACCGTCTAGAACGAAAACCTTCAGTTTGCCGATGAAGGAACAGAGATCCAGGAAAGGGTGGTGATGGACTCCCTGTCTTCTCATCCACGCTCCCTCCACCCACCTTCCACACCCTCTAACCCTCACCAAATGGCAGGGACTGGGCGAGTTGAAGGGAGTGTCCCCAGAAGCAAGTAGAACTACCAGCTGAGATGCCAGCGGAAATGGAGGGCAGTGGAGACCCTGCCCGCCCCCTCCCCCCGACCCCAGCAGCTTTCTGCATTGTCAAAAACTTAAAATGATCCGAAAATGCAGGCGTGAGCCCCAAGAACCACTCGTGGGCGCCGCTGGCTGAAAGTAGCCGTGCAAACGAGCTTAAGACCCCAGGCCAGGAACTTCGGGGGCAGACAACTCATTTTAAAAGCAAGGAAGCAGCGGGGTGCACCCATGCAACGGACTGGAGATATAAGGGGACAAGCTACTAACATCCCGCCACAAGGTGACTCAGAGGCAACGAGCCGAGTGACGGAGGCCAGACTGTAAGGCTACTGCAGTGTGGCTCCACTTCTATGACATTCTAGAAAAGGCAAATCTGCAGGGTCAGAAAATCCATCAGTGGTCACCAGGTGCTGGGGGTGGGAGGAGTGGATGGACATCAAAGGAGCCTGAGGGGATGTTTTGGAGTGATGGAAATACCACGTTGATTTCGGTGCTGGTTACAAGGCTGTGCACCTTTGTCAAAATTCACTGAACTGTAGACTTCAAAAGGGTGAATTTTACTGTATGTCAATGAACCCCCGATACCAAACGTCAGAGATGTCAATAAACTTGTAAAAAGAAAAGGCAGGGGGACTTGTAGGGGCGGAGAGGCTTATGGAAATAAGACAGTATGCCGGCTAAGGAAGCCGGCCGCTGGTCTGCGCCCCACTTAACATTTGTCCAAGGCTTTCCCTACCTACATAACCAGCAGCAGGTCTGCAGAATCCTGTTTAAACTCTCCTTGTCAAGGCCACTCACAGCTGGAAGTAAAATCACCTAAACAAGCTGAGGTCTTTGACGTCCTTTGAATTTCATGGCTTGAATTGCCAAGAAGGGACTTTGGCTCCACCAGGATTTCTCTGCACCCATCCCCTAATCTCGTAATGGATTGGTTTTCACAAAGGGAACAGAAACAAACCCCTGGTTCCTGAGTTGTACGGTTTCTATTTGCTTCGATCATTAATCAGCCCCAGTGAAGGGAGAAATGTCTCCTACTGCAGAAACCCAATCCACCCTCCCCAGTGAAAGGAGGCCCAAGGCGGTTCCACGGGCAGAACCTCGGGGCAGCCGTTCCTGTGGCTCAGCTGGCCAGGGCTTTGCAATACCGATCAAAAGCAAGAGAAAAAAAAAATGGAGAGGAACAAGTAGCTTTTCCTGGAGGTTTTCGTGGCAACTCACTTTTGTTTTAGAGACTGTTTTGTAAAACATCAGGCTATCACAGACAAAACGAAGTGCACCCGTGTCTCCCAGGTAGAAGAGGCTCACCTGTCCTCAGAAATGGAACAGTGGATGTGCTCAAGGATGGCCTGGGGCCACTCACCCTGAATCAAGCCAGGCAGACCCTCCTATAACCTACGCGCCAAAGCCCAAACCCAAACCACCGCCGGGGCCGAGGGTCCCTCCGAAGCGCGCTTTTAGGTATTCCAGACTCTTCACCCTAACTCTGACTTCACCCACATGCGGAGCCCTGTTAACATAGGGATTCCAGGCCTGCTTGTAGGTCGCTGTTCATCTCACGGCTCTCACCGGCCGTCCTCCGGCTTCATTCTTCCTCTTTGTAAAGTGAGAAGAATGATCTAAAACAAATCTCTGAACTTTGAGTTGGATATGAGCCATGGAGGGTCTGGCGGACCAGGTGATCATACTCTTGTTGCTGCCTGGTTTCTCTGTCCTTGGGTAAATGCCACATGGCAGTAGTTTGTATTATGATTACAGGCTCCCAGTGGGTTAAATGTGGAAGGGGTGCAAGGTTCTCATTCCCCAGAAAGGTCTGAAAACATCCCCCTTCCACATGGAGAATAGAGGGGGGCCGGGGGCGGAGTGCCTGTCTGGTATGCAGCTACATTTCTAGTACCGGCACAATGCCTGGCTTGCCCCAGGTGTCTGATGATTAAGTGAACGAATGAGTGAATGGCTGAATGAATGAAAGAAGAGCTATTAGCACAACAGACAGTATCTCTGCAAACCTAAATTCTGCAGAGTACCTGTACGTGAATGCCAAAGTTACTGACCTGCAAGACCCCTGGAGAAAAGACAAGTCTCTACCAAACAAGAGACTGTGGGCTCCCCTGATGACAGGGCCATACCTTGTCCCTGGATCTTAGCACATTGCCCAGGCTCAGCTAAATGCCTGATGAATGAATAAAGGAGGGAAGAAAGAAAAAAGAAAAAAGAAAAAAGAAAAAAGATGTGGAAGGGCTAACGAAACTGAGGGAAAAGGATGAGGGGGAAAGAATGACTTCAGAAAATAGACTGGCCCACAAGGGGCCAACTTGGGCTACCCTGAAAGAGGCAAGAGAGCCCCAGGGAAGCACAGAAGACTCCGGAATCCTCAGATGGGGATGAGAAAACAAAATCAACGAGCGATATCACACTCAAAGTATCTGCGTTAATAACAAGGCTGTTGGCTTTGAATGTCGGAAAATCACCCACAAATTAGTTTACTCAGCCACAAAGCAATTACTACTAGCACCGATCTTTTACAGAGAAACCAAAGAAATGATATCCCCAAACTGGCAGCTGGTGTCATGGCCCAACTTCAGACTAGGAGTGGTTCTCCATGCCAGACACACATCCGTCCTGCTGGCCTTCATGTTGGTGAAGGCCTTCCTGTTGACCTTTCTGGTTGGGATGTTTCAATAAAAAAACTGGCAAAGCTTGGTTTGCTTTAGGCTATTCGGCATCTTTCTACCGTAACTACGAGGGCGCCATACTGACTCAAAAGGCAGAGGTGCCAAAAGATTCAAGAATAACAAGTCATCAGTTACCAGCATAGACGACAGAGAGAAAGACCAGTGAGTTACCTTAGACGTCTGCCCTTACGAGAAACACATGAGTCCTGTGAATCCGAAGTAATCAAGGGAAAGATTAAAAGGAAAGATGGGTTCTCAGGGTGCGGGTTCCGGGCCAGAATGTGCCCCTTGCAAGTTGTCTGACCTCCTTCAGCCCTTTTCTTCCTCCCGTGGCCTCGAGCTGATTCTCAAGATTTAACACGTAAGGGAGAAAGAGATGAGTGAGGACCCGATGGCAGTGCCAAAGCTTCCCAGGTCACACTCAGACCAGGCTCTCCCAGGAATGGGGAGATGGGCAAAGGGCAAGGGGGTAGCAGCACCAAGCAGGGGCTCCGTGCGGGGATTTGAAACGTGCAGGAGCTGAGAGGCCAAGGTGCCAGACTGCCTGGTGACATGTACTGTGGCTACGAGAGTCTGCGATGCCTGCACAGTGCCTGCCAGTGAAAGCCATACATGAGACAGTGGTCCCGACCCCGCTGTGCGTAGGCAGGTGGAGCCATCTGGGGGGGGTGACAGACACTTGCCCCAACCCATCTCCAACATGGGACTGACCCAGCCCCCCAGGACAAGCGAGGGTGGAGGATGGAGCTCCCCCGAGGAAGCGGCTGTGGGCTGGGTGGACGGGGCTGCCCAGAGACAGCACGTGACATTGACGCCTGATCTAATAGGAAACACGATTCAATGCTCCGACTTGGGGCGAATTTGCTGAACGAGGTAGTTCCATCCTGACCTTTGCAGGCAGGGTCAGTCTGGGAGAACAGGAGCCAGGCATTCTTCCCAAGACTCCCAACGATGAAAAGTAGCAGAGAAGAGCCAGGATGTGGGCTCCCAGAATATGCAACGGGAAAAAACAAAGAGGGAGGGCTGCTGCAAAGGATTCTGGGTGTGGGCTGTTGAGCTGAAAGGTGCCTTCTATCCACGATTCTGATCCTGACACTTGGCTTGGAGACAGAGACCTCTCTCCCCCGCCCCTCCAAAGCCCTGGAGACAAGTGGGCTGGCTGGAGGAAGGGCCTTGGGGCTTCCAGGGGCGTGAGCGTGTGACACAGCTGGCTCTGGGTGGGGAGGGGACCTCTCTGGTGCTCAGCAGGGACCACAACGTTCCAGCCTCGGTTTGTTCTCGGAGTGGCAAGCACGGCATGGGACTTGGGGGGCTTCAGCCTCGGAGACAAGGGCAGGGCTGTGGATCCATCTTCTCGGCCTGGGAACACTGGGGAGCTCCCCATGGGGCCATCCGGGCCGCTCTTCTGGCTTCACTGTCCCCTCTCCTCAGTGGACCAGGAGAGCGGGTGGGAGGGCAGCTCCGCTTGGGAGCAGGTCCCCCCTGGCAGGAGTGCCACCTCCTCTGCGTGGGACCTCAGCCCCTCCTCAGCAGGACCCCCCAGGCCGTGTGTCTAGATCTCCATGTCCACGGGGCGGATGTTGCCCGTCTTGTGCTCCCTGACCCACAGCTCCCTGTCTTTGGCTGGGTCCACTTTTCGAAGCAGTTGGTCCACAGGCTCGACTGTCTGCAAGGGATGGAGAAGAGGGATACCTTCAGAGGCAGCGGCCGAGCCAGGGACATATCCTCTGAACCACGCTGCTTGCACCCTCGGGCCCGTCAGAGCAGCCTCTCTAGAGGGTTGTGAGGCCCCGGGGAGGCCCGTGCGAGGGACAGACGTGGCAGGGGCTGGAAGACCCGGGGGCCTGAAGCTCTGGCCTCTGCCCTGCTCTCCCTCGTGCATGTGACCCTCCAGACGTCAGAGTGGATGAAAGGGCAGGTGGCCCAAGGGTCTGTGACCTGTTTCTCCTTCCATTAGTCTCCACATTTACCACCTGAGAACAGGTCAAATGGAACGTCGGCTTGAGAAGTTTTGAATAGTTCCCAGCATCGTAAGAAATTCGCCAGGGGAGACAAGGACATCTCCAGCTATTTTAACTATCGTGACGCATCTATGTGATGCGCTCGGGATGGATTCACATGGACATCCAGGGTAACTGACATGTCCATCCCAAGGGGTCACCCGCAGGCCCGAGCCCGTGCCCGCCTTCCGGACAGATTCACCTGTAGCAGCTACTTGACCTGCCACCACGGCACAGGGCCACGGCTCTCCCCGGCCCCACGCCGCCCAGGGGCCCCGCTGGCCTCGGCCCGGGGAACTCACGCTTTGGTTGAACATGTCCGTCTCGTGCCGCAGCTGCGTGTACTGGCACAGATGTTGCCGGATCATCTCCACCCTCTCCACCTCCAGCCGTTCCAGCTCCTGCAGAAGAGGAAACCGGCAGAGACCTCTGGGGGTGTCCCTTCCACCTGGGGACCTTCCCCACCATGCGGGTCCCACACCCCCCTATACACAAAACACAGATGCTGCCTGCTGATCCCCCATCCTGCCTGACCCTCTGGGGTCTGACGAGGAACCCACCCCGTATCTGGGAGTGAAGGTGTAGCTGAGGGCACAGCAGTTACTGTCTCCTGACTCTCGTTCTGCCAGGCGTGGTGGGTGCTAAGGGCTTTACGGGCACTGCTTAATTGTCCTCATCATAATTGTAAGAGGTTCTCTTCTTACCCACATTCTCCAAACAAGGGAATGAACACCTACAGAGGTAACATCGCTTGCCCACAGCGACAGGGAATTATGGGAGCAGCGGCATTTGCACCAGGGTCTGTCGTGCCCTTAATCACGCGTCTGCACCGGTGCAGCCCCAGCCCCAGCCCCTGATGGCGTGGAGAGATGGAACACGTGCAGAAGCTTCTGCACCTCCACCTCTTGGGGCTTTGTCCCTGGGCCTCTGCTGAGTGGCCTCGTCTCCTCTGTCCACCCCAAGCACTGAGGGGCAGGTCAAGGGAGCCAGGAGGGCCGGGAGCAGGGTGGCCACTGTCAAAGGGAAGAGTGGAGTGTTTGCCCTTTGGGTCCTAGGTGGCTCTGCATCTTTGGAATTTAGGAGATCCGGCTGCTATTCTGTGCACAACTAGGTCACTGTTCAGGTGATTAACCTGGGCGTAGGAAGTAAAGCAGGGAGTTTAATTAGGAGATTAACCAGGAGGAAAACTAGGTCACTGTGCCCGGGGGAGGCCTCTAATCTGCTCTGGTGGACTGGCACCTGGGGCAGGCAGAGGGTTAGTCTCATGCTGGACAGCCAGATGGACGGCGGTGGCTTGGGGGCAGCGGGACGGTGTGATAAGCACCTGGCATGATGCCTCCTTCCTCATCTGGCCCCATGACCCACATGCCAACCCCGCTTCACCCCCTTCAGTGGGTGCTGACTTCACAGAAATACTCAGCTTGGCTATTTTTCCTAAAGGGACCACTGTCTGCTTGGTTGACGCTGACCCCTCAGAGGATGCAGCACGAGCGCATCGTCACCCGTGTTCACACAGCTAGGAAGTGCCAGGGCAGGGATCTGAATCCACACAGGCTGGTCCGGAGTTGAGGTCTCAGTCCCAACACTAGAGCAGATCTAATGACCATCTCCACGGTCACCTCCACCCCATTGCCTGCACATCCGCCACCATCCACCCAGGGATTCCTGAGTGCCCACCCCTGCACGGACAAGCGTATGCATCTCTGGTCACTCACCAACGTGGTGGTCACCATCTCTTCAAACCACTTGGACTGGGCCTGGTTGTAGAGGTCCACACAGCGCATGAGGTCATCTCCTGGAAGGGCCAAGGCCACTGTCATACTCTGTCCTGTCCTCACCATGGCCGCCTTCTCCCACCTGCACCCCACAGCCAGGGTGATGGAGGCCACCGGAAAGTTGGGGGGTGGAGAGGATGAACAGAGCAAGAGAAGGGGGCAACCCAGCCTTACGAGAGACCGGCTTCAGAGTGTCCATCTGAACTAGACTCCAGACACCAAAAACTCAGGAAGGGGTTTTCTCAGTAAGAATATATATATGGTAGGGGTGGGGGGGTACTCCTAGGACCCCCAACTCTATCATGAGCCCAAGAAATGCTTCCTCTTCTAAAGATGGGAGTTTCATTTCACATTGGAGAGTCCTGCTTGGTTGAAACATGTGTCTCAAGTAACTTGCTACTAGTTAGAGTTAAAGAAGGGAAGTTTGCAAATCACGTGTGTGTGTGTGTGTGTGTGTGTGTGTGCGCGCGCGCGTGTGTACATGCAGCAGCAAAGGGTGGGTGGGAAGGGAATGAGCTCTTTCTATTTTATTTCATAAGAGAGAGATCTGAAACAAACTATTTAACAAACTGCAAGTAATTGCAACATTACTAAGGTCCCGGCGTCCCAGACCCTACACAGAACACAGTTCCTGGGCCAGCAGCATCAGTACGCCCTGGGAGTTTGCTCGAAATGCAATCTCAGGATGTTTCCGAGACCTAGTGAATCAGAAACTATTTCCACAAGATCCTCAGGTGATCCCCGTGCACATCACAGTTGGAGAAGCACAGCCTGGTCTGCATGTAGTTTCCTGATCATCTCAGGGTGCCAGAGAGAGGAAGTCATCATGGTCTCTGCTCATGATGGGAAAACTCATGAGTGAACCCAGAGATAATGATGAACTCTTCAAAGGGATTCCTATAATGGCATCACCTTGCTCATGTGGGTTCAGATATGAAAGTGAAAGAAAGTGGGCAGAGTTATGCCCACATGACCCAGGGCCTGGCTCAGGGCCCCCTCCCCAGTGAACCATACACCATTGGCTGGGAGCTAAGCCTTGAGCAACCCCAAATCAAGGCTCTGTTCATTTTGCCCTTGGTTCAAGGCTAAGACTGGGCCCTTGATCCCAAGAAAGACTGACTATAGGGAAGAAAGTGGATATTTCATTGCAGATGCATTCCCACCAAGAGCTTGTGCCTGACCGTGGGTGGGGTCACCCTATAAACACCATGTGAAACTCCCAAAGCCCTATTTGTTGATCCTGATTTTGACAACATGCTTCAGGAACTTCTGCAACATCAGGAAACAGTATAGGTGACGGTAGGTGTGTCTCTTCTCTAGTTATCCCAAGGGTTTGAAATCAGGCTCTTCTGAACAGCACAGGTTAAGGACATGGATTCTGGAACCAGATCTGGGCTGTCACACAGCTCCACTGTTTACTAGCCGTGCAATCTTGGACAAGTTGATTCACCCTGCCTGTGCCTCAGTTTCGTAATCTGTAAAATGGGGATAATAATGGTACCTTCATAGAGCCACAGTGAAGATTAAATAAGCACACACACCCCCCAGAAAAGAAAAGAAAAATGAAAAAGAAAACACAAAGAACAAAATAAAAAGATAAACTTACGAAAAATATATGCAATTCAAATGACAAAAAGTTAATCTTCCTTATCAATCAATCAATAAGAACAAGACCAGCCATTTGACATAAAAACGGGGGGAGCATATGAGTGAATCATAAAAAAGAAAAGCCACGATGATTTATAAGTCTAGTTTTAAAACGCTCAACTCCTCTCAAAAAGCGTGTAAATTAAATTAGAAACAAAATACTATTTTTCACCAGACAGTTACGATGTCAAAATCTGAGAGCAGTCAGTGCTGTCCAAGAGTTTAGGGGACAGGCGTTCACAGAGCTATTGGTGGGCGCCCCTCTCTGGAAAGCAACTTGGAAACATCTATCAAAATGAATACAAGCCTCTGACCCAGAAACCCCGAGACCATCTCTATACTGTCTATATGCAGGTGCTGTTCCCCCCACCCCTGAGATGCATTTATAGTAACAGCATCGCTGGCATTGGCAAAAACTCTGAAACAATCTAAAAGTCTTACAAAAGTCAGTTAGGGGAATGATGAAACAAAATCTGGATACGATCATACACTTGCACGCTATTCAACTATTTAAAAAGTCTGATGTACGTGAATGGATGGGGAAATAACTTTATGGGTGATGGAATAGAGCTCTCTCTAAGATATATCAATTAAAATATAAGTTCAGAACACAGTGTAATATGATTTTATGTATATGAATTTTTTTTTTTTTTTTGGCTGCACCGTGCAGCATGTGGGATCTTAGTTCCCCGACCAGGGATCGAACCCGGGCCCCCTGCATTGGACGCACAGAGTCTTAATCACTGGACCGCCAGGGAAGTCCCTATAAGTTTAAATATTAAAAAACATTAAAAAAAATTAAAACACTAGGATGTGTTGATGGTGATTATATCTGGGGAATAAGATTTTATATTCTTATGTGTTAAAATTTTTTGTCAAGCAGCAATATTGTCTTTGGAATATAATGTTATGTTTTAATAGTTTAATAAATTAAACTAATTTAAATGTGCCTCTCCCATCCTTAGGTTCCCTTTCCTACTCCCAACAAGTATATTGTGCCTTCTGTTTCTGCATCCAGTACTTTACCACTGTGCATTAAAGACCTTTATATAAAATGCTGTATTTGTATCACACTATTTTGTTATGACATGTTTATACCACCTTATTTCAAAATGTCACAAAGGTGGCTGTTTCATCCTATAAAGAACTAATTATACCAGGTCCACCAGAAGTTGGGGTGAAAGGGATTTAGAGACCATCTAATCCAAACCCTAGTCCCACAGCACACATTTTAATCCCAGACAGCAAAACGCATTGTCCTTGTACACCATGAAACTGGTTTTTTAGAAATATTTAACAATTTTCTTTTTTAGATTATTGTCTCTCACTGGTTTTTCTCCCCCTTCCTTGTGCATTAGCTAATTTTTACCTCTAGGTGGAAGCAGAAGCCGACTCATTGGGAAATCTTTTGGAGAAAATCTGAAATACGGTTATTTCTTTACACAAAATGTTGACCTCTGTTCTGGGGCAGAAGCCCATCACCAGAGGTGAACCTTTGGAGTATCACTCCCCGGGGAGGTGGGACAGCTTGGGTGGGTGTGGCTTGCACTTCCCCTAGGAGCTCCACGCAGCGACAGGGCCCCTGAATTCCGGGTGCCTGGAAGAGTCTGTCCACCTCCTGGCCAGAGATCCAGGCCTTGGACCAGAAGGAGCCCTCTGGCCCAAAGGGAGGGTGTGGAGAGCCCTGTCCCCTGCCACGGCCTGGACACAGCCGGGTCTGCTCCCCGCTCCACAGTCCCCCCCCACCCCAACCCGTGGGATGCACATTCACGGGCACGCCATCTCTCAGCCCCTCCTGTGTTTCTGTGACCAGGTGAGGACGGACGGGGGCAGCGGGCGACGGTGCCTCACTCACCCGCCTGCGTGGACTTCCTCCGCGCCTTCTTGATGTCCTCCTCCGTCTTATTGCTCAGCTTTATCTCCAGCTGCTGGGTCTTCATCTCCAGGTCTCTCTGCCGCTCCGTGAGGGCTTTCCGGGCCTGGGGTCCAAGGACGTGAAGCTGTTCATGGGCTCAGAGCCAGGAAGGGCCTATGGGGCACACGGGGCCTGGCTTCCCCTTTTCTAGGTAAGAGTACTTTCTTTTCCCTGCTTTTGTGGATGAGGCCACAGTGGCTCTGACAGGCTAAGCAGCTAGACCAGCATCACCCAGCCAGTCAGGGACCACGTGGAGGCTGCAAAGCATCCTCTCATCCCCATCTCTTGGCCTAGAGCAAGCCTCCCAGAGCATGTTTTCATTGGAGCATGTACACGTACTGGGGACCCAAGCGGTCCTAAAATCACAGCTTCTCCGGGGTGGCAGGGACCACAAAGGTCGACATCACTTCCCAGCAGTGCTTAGCAGCTGGTAGCACCAGGCTCCCCATTCTGGGGCAGGATGGGCCCTTTGGTGGCAGCTACTGGCAGGGGTGGGGATTCCATCAGGAGGGAATCTGCCAGGTGAGCCCCAGGCAAAGGGGGGCCCCATGTGGACCGACAGCACATCCAGGCTCCGAGACCCACAAAAGCAGGGTGTACCTTGTCTCATGTGCCGGATGGAGGCCCCCTATGCCCTCCACTGCAGGTGCAGCCACGCCCACTCCCACTCAGAATCTGAGCACCAGGGAGAAGCGGCCCACCTACTCTTTGGCTGGGGGAGGGGGATTTCATACTCCCCACCCCTCCAGATCCTATCACAGGGGGACAAGCCTCTGCCTCGGCACACGGAGCCCCTGCTGGTTCCCAGCCCCCTCTCCTCCAGCAGGACCCTCCCACCCTGGCACCCTGGGCCTCACCTTCTCCACCGCGGCATAGCGGCTGGCGAGCTGCTTGCGGAGGTCTGCAATGTGGTGGTCACACTTTTTCATGTCCTTCTTGAAGTTCTCGCGGAAGTTCATGAGGGGCTTCTCCACCTCACTGTGAAGCTGTCGATGGGGGAGATACACTCAGGACCCCGGGGCAGCAGCTGCAAGTGGAGGGAGGGGGCGCTGCCCCCGACCCTGCAGGCGAGGATGGGGGGCCTTCCCACCGGAAGGTCAGAGACAAGTGGCTGCTTATCTGGTAGTGGTCGAGGAAGTCACCTCAGCTGGCCACGTCCCAGCGTTCACACCAATGGACAGGTTAGCATCTGGAGCCTTCGAGTCCCTTGTGGGCACCCCCTTCCTGCGCTAAGTCCCCAGAGCTTCCTCTAGGGCTTTGCTCAGGTGTCCGGCTCCCTTTCTTTCCAACCTGGGAGCTTTCTCGGGGCAGAACCCAAGCCACCATCTCTGTGTCCCCAAGCACTTAACACAGGGACTGCTGGGTGGGTGACATTTAATCAGGTGATCTCGGGGCAGCTCTACTTATTGAACAGCTACTACATGCCAGGTGCTGAGACCGCAGAGGATCTGCTCACGGTCTGGATGTCGAGGAGGTCTTGTTAGGAGCTCAGGGCCACCCCCCCCCTTCCTGAACTGTGCCTGCTGGTCTCTGCATGGAGGCTGGCGCAACCCCACCGCACCAGAATGAACTGGCCTCGCACCCCCAGGGACAGAGAAGAGTCCTTTATGCTCTGAGAGGTGCTGGGTGAGGATGGTTTTCAAGCTTTTTCCTTCTCTTTCATTCCTTCCCTCTCTCCCACTCCACTCTCTTTGGAAGGAGAACTTTTACTTAAAACTTTTTTTGGGGGGGGGTTGTGAACATGAGATGTATCTGATAAGAAAACAGATAAATGTGGACCTGGTGTGGTCAAAGTCACAGCCTAGAGCCCCCCGACTCAGCCTCTCAGAGCCCCACCCATTGGCCCCCCTGGGAAGCAGAGCTGAACTTCCCTGGATGGACGACATCCCACCTCGGGGGTTCTGTGATCGCTCTCCTCCTCCCCTTCACCAGGCCCCTTCTTCCTACATTATCTTTTCCCCAGAGACCTCAAGGACAGACGTGTTCCTGGTCCTAAAGCACCGATTACACATCACTGTGAGCTCTAGGAGGGTGGGGACCATGCCGGCTGGGTCACTGCTGTGTCCGCAGCATCTGGCCAGAGCTGGTGCACAGTGGGTGACCCTTCTCTACTTAGATCTTCAGGGCCCAATGCCCCGGGTGACAAGACGATGCTTTGTTGGTGGACAACCTTCAAAGACTAACAGAGAGCGCGGGCTGCACAAACGCCCTTCTCTTCCTCCTGTTGGTTGTAACGTCCGCTATCATTTTGTTGAGCCCTTGGAAGCTTCCTTACACAGGAAAACACCCCCATCTGGTGGCAGTTTGTAAGATGCCACAAACTTGAGCGCTGCTGAGAACAAGAAAACACCTTCCCCACACAGATTAGGCTTTGAGGGAGGAGGGGGAGGGGCTGCATCACTGGCTGCCATGGGAACCGGCTCCTGCCGGGGGCTCTACGTGGGTTAACTCAGCCTGTTGACCCAGTAACTCCGCGGTCTCTTTCTGAGGGATTTCCATACTTCATGTACCCAGGAGTGACCTTGCAGAGGCTTATCAGTACTCAGGAGTCCTGGGCGCCGGCCCCAGATTCTGTGGTCTGGAGAAGGGCCCAGGATCCTGCCAACACACCCAAACGCTCTCCCCCAATTCCAAGTGACATTCTGGAAACATCGTGCTACTGGCTGTCAGAAGCATTCAACCCCGTGGATTGCAGACCCATGGATTCTCCCTCTGTATTTTAAGTACTTTGAAAATAAGGCTAATTTTTTTCTTTAAGAAAGTTGGCTGGGTGTTTTTTTATACTCATTCTTAACGTTTAAGCATCTCTGGCGAACCAGGAGGCAGAAGCCCTCCCTGGAAGCTTGTCCGCATGAACTTGAGCTGGCCCGGCTTGGATGCCAGAGGCTATTGAAGCCGTTTGGTTTGCCTTTCAGAATTCCTGTCTCCTCCTTTCATGTCACTCATCAGAAGAGAGTAAGAGAAAACTCAAGTTGGCAGGAATTTCAGAGACCACAGGGAGACCTCGGAGACATTGTGGGTTTGGGGCCAGACCACCACAATAAAGTGAAGACTGCAATAAATCGAGTCACATGGATTTTTTTGGTTTCCCAGTGCACATAAAAGTGATGCGCACACTATACTGTAGTCTGCTAAGTGTGTAATAGCTTTATGTCTTAAAAATGCACATACCGGGGCTTCCCTGGTGGCGCAGTGGTTAAGAATTCACCTGCCAAGGCAGGGGACACAGGTTCGAGCCCTGGTCTGGGAAGATTCCACATGCCACGGATCAACTAAGCCCGTGTGCTACAACTACTGAGCCTGCACTCTAGAGCCGACGAGCCACAAGTACTGAGCCCCCGTGCCACAACTACTGAAGCCTGTGTGCCTAGAGCCCATGCTCCGCAACAAGAGAAGCCACCACAATGAGAAGCCCGCACACTGCAACAAAGAGTAGCCCCCCTTCGCTGCAACTAGAGAAAGCCCACACACAGCAACGAAGACCCAACACAGCCATAAATAAATAAATAAATTTGTTTTAAAAAATGCACATACCTTAATTTTTAAAATACTTATTGCTTAAAAAATGCTAACCATCACCTGACAACGCAGGGTCGCCGCACATCTTCAATTTGTTAAAACAAAACAAAACAAACTACACACACACTAAAGCAAAGTGCTGTATTAAACAAGGTATGCCTGTATCTAGTCCAGTGGGTTACTAAGAGTTGTGAAATCATTTTAGTGGGTCAGGACCTGCTTTTAGATGAGCATAGCCCAGACACGAAGAGAAGATATCAGAGTGCATTTTAGGCAGAAGGATAAGCAGTTTCACAAACAGCTGTTTTAGCCACGTACACGTGTATCTGTATGCGGATATCTGGAGGTGGATACCTGTGTGTTCCAGGTGGCCATGGAAAATGTATAACGGTGGGTCACAGTCAAGTAAGGTTCAAGTCACTGATCTGGTCTAATCTCTTCATTTCACACATGAAAAAAATGGAAGCTCAGAGATGCTAAGTGACTTGCCCAAGGTCATAAAGCTTGTTAGTGATGGCACTGACATAAAAGTCGTGTCTCCTGAGGCTCACTGTGCCCCCCAAAATCTTCTGGCTGAATGCATGGCCTCGATTGCAGGATTAGATTTTCTCCCATCAGAAGGAATTTTTCTGTTCTCCCTTCTTCACCCAGAAGCGGGTATAACTTCCTTTATATATAGCAATCTTATTTCTCTAACAGCCTGTTGCTATGAACAATGGCTCGAGCTAGGAGACTAGAAAAGCCTAAACGATTCCTGAAATGAAATTGCGTTTCTTAAAGAGCTCTCGCCCCCGACACAGAACATTCAGGGTGGAATTTTTCAACGAGCCTTTTGGAGCTGATGGTAAAATGGATTTCGCACATATGGAGCCGTATTATCCAGGGCGGACGGATACTCCTTGGAGCCTTTTCTTTTCAAGGAATTGTCGTACAACCACTGGGCTGCCACCATGATTGCCTGAGGGCACCGACACCCACCGATGGGCTGGAGGCAGCAGACATTCTTACAGAAAAATCTATGTGTGAATTTTGTGTGAACCTTCTTCAGAAGCCTCCCGTCAGCTACCTGAAGTCAGCCCTGAATTAAAACATCCCGGCATTTGGAGGGCCGGACTGCACTGCCCTGGACAGTCCTTAAGAGAGGGCAAAGTGCTCTTCAGAACAGGGTTCTGTGTTTTAAATGCCACTGGTCTGCCCGGAGAAAAGGTCTGGGGGTCAAAGCTGCAATTCACTCAGTCCTCTCCTCTGCTTCCTCAGCAGCTGAGCCAACTTGGCTGTGTGACCACTGGCTGCGATTTATCCCCTCTGTTCCTTCTCATTTGTGAAACGGAGATGCTGTCTTGAACAGTAGCTGATAAAATTGAGGGAGATGAATTATATCCTACACCTAACACTTACATCACCGTGATACTGTGATATAATAACAAATATATATTTTGCTTTTTGTCCCCAGCTCCTGGCTGGAGCTCCTAGAGCCTTTGCAATTTCCTAAACAACAACGGTCCCAGGAGCATCCTTTGGTCTAATATTTGGTCTCTGACCCACTGTTCCTGATACCAAGCTCCTACATCCCTTGGAATTTCCTGGGTGATAGGAGGGTCTTTTGTTCGAATGAGGTGCCTCTGCCTGGGCTCCTGGACGGGGGCTGGTCACCACAAAGACCAAGCCATGATTAGAAGCTTGTAACTTTCAGCCCCCTCCCCATCACTTGGTAAGGGGGAGAGGAGAAGGGCCGGAGATTGAGTTAATAATTGATTCTGCCTATGTGATGAAACCTCTATAACAATCTGTCAATCTCAGGGCCCAGAGGGCTTCTGGACTGGTGAACACACTCAGACGTGCACACACATCTCTAGCCTTTATCCTATCCTTTAATATATAATAAACTGGTAAACCTAATAAGTGTTCCCCTGAGTTTCGTGAGCTGTTCTAGCAAATAATCAAACCTGAGGAGGGGGTCACGGGAACCCCTGATTTGTAGCCAAGTTGGACAGAAGTTGTGGGTAACCTGGGGACCCACTACTTATGATAGCCATCTGAAGTAGGGTTGGTCCTGTAGCACTGAGTCCTTAACCTGCAGGATCCTATGCTGACCCTGGGGGAGTTAGTGTCAGAACTGAATTAAACTGTAGGACCCCCAGCTGGGGTCAGGGAATTGGCTGGCGTGGGGAAAACCCACCCAGTTTGGTGACCAGACGTACTGCTGTGAGCAGCAGTAGTAAAAGGAAAGATTAGAGGAAAACACTGCACAGGGGGGAGTGCTCTGTCACCCGCCGGGCACCTTACGAACGATCGAGAATCAGGCGGCCTGCTGATGGAAAGTAAATGCCACCAGGATTCCTGGGGCTCCGGCAGGCAACCCTTCAGAAGCTCACAGACCCGGCTCCCAGTCCCATCACAATGGCAGCCTCTGCATGCATCTCACAGTCAACGGAAGTTTCCACCACCGCAGAAGCTGGAGCTGCTGGGGGCTAGGAGGGAGAAGGGAGACCTAAAGGGAACACTACCGTGATCTACAGCTTAAAAACAACTCCCTGCTTTGTACGCAAGGCTCAAAAGAGACCCATTCACGGAGCTCCCTTCTCTCCCAGTACTTGAGAGGCAAGTTCCTTGCCAAGTGTTGGTGTCTGAGGCTAGTGTGCCACTGCTGGCCCAGGAATTCTCACTCACATCTGGGTGTCAACTCAGTCTTGGGGCTCCAGCATCCTTCAGGAGCAGGGAGCTGGTAACGCTCTGTTTTTCCTCCCAGCCCAGCTCTTTATAAAGCTCCTTCACACATCTCAGCCGTACGAGTCACTCATCCTGCCCTCGGCGTGCGGAGAACCCTCACGGGGTGGGGTGGAGACCTGGATACAAAGTCAGTTTCCTGGCTTCCAATAGCGCACTAAGCCCAGAAATGCAACTGTTGTGGAAGAAGCGCTAGAAAAGACATAGGACCTGAGAGCACTGAGTGCGGAAGTCGCGGGAAGGGGCAGCCATCTTTGTGGGATGCCACGTTCAAGTGGCATCCTCCTCCTTTACACCCTGATGTTAAGGGAGGTAGTGTACACCCTGCTGTTAAAATGTGGGCTCAGGGGCTTCCCTGGTGGTGCAGTGGTTGAGAGTCCACCGGGACACAGGTTCGTGCCCCGGTCCGGGAAGATCCCACGTGCCGCGGAGCGGCTGGGCCCGTGAGCCATGGCCGCTGAGCCTGTGCGTCCGGAGCCTGTGCTCCGCAATGGGAGAGGCCACAACAGTGAGAGGCCCACGTACCACAAAAAAAAAAAAAAAAAAAAATGTGGGCTCAGAGGGTTTAAGCACTTTGTCCCAGTGTCCTCTTGGGCTGGTGACTGTGGGAGGGCAGAAGAAAGAGCGTAGACCCAGTAGGCAAAGGTCGCCGGGAATGATGCCCCTCTCCAGGGGCTCTCGTCCTTTAGAAGGCAAGCATCCTAGTGGGCGGCCCCATTAGTCACACACACTTTAGTGTGAATTTCTCCCTTAGACTGTTGGTTTATTTTCCACCTGGAAAGCAGCTAAGAGCCTGAGAGGGAATTTGGAGACAGGAGACAGGGAGTGGGGAAGAGAGGGTTGTTTGGAAACATGGAGAAATCTTGGCAGAAAGTAGGCCTCAAAAGACTAGGGGGTCGAGAGGAGATCGTCAGAGGTCCTACTCACTCATAACTTCATAAAATATTTATTGACATCTACTATGTACCAGGCACCACTCTGAGTCCTGAAGACAGAGTGAGTAGGAGAGAAACATCACTGTCCAAGGGCACGGTGCTAGAGTCTTTTGGACCAATGGAAAGAAGGGTCAGCTACCTAGTCTGAAATTGTGTAACAACAGACACAACAAAACAAAAAAATTCTCCCTTCGAAATAGTCTAGTCTCTCCCGACACTAAGAAGAGATAGAAAATGCCAATGCGTTCCTTTGAAAGCCAAGCAACACAAAAGTGTAGTTTCATTACTCAGGGGCTCACCCGAGAAACTGAGGGGCATCTACCCTCACCTCGCAGAGGTGTGCTGGGGTTACTCGCACTGGCTCATCAGAGCCCAGGGTTAAGTTTGGAGGAATTTTGTGAGTTGGTTGTTAAAGACAGTATTAAAAATTAAATGATCTAAACTTAAAATTAACAAACTATATTAAAAACAAAGGTAATACACATCCTCATACCCTCCTAACTCCATCTGACTCTCATCCACGCTCTTGATGGATGTGTATGATTACTGATGCTATTTTGTTGGTATAGGGGGAGCACGGTCTAATGGTAGCATCTCTTCCCGACTCTTGAGATATACACCATGGAAACCGTGCAACACCACACCCTGCAGAGACAGCTGTTAAACGTTCAGCAGCACATCGGTGTGTAGGACCAACCCAGGGAGGGCTTACCTTGGCGGAGAACTTGAGGTGAACTTCAGCCTCGTCGGCAAGGCTCTTCTTCACCTGCGCCCACGCTTCTCCCAGGGAGCTGCAACACCAAGGAGTCGATGAGGCTCGGGGAGGCCACACCGACCTCAGGTCAGAGGCCACGGCCCTCCCTGAGACAGGATGGTTGGTCTTGACCCCGAGTCCCGGGGGAGCGTATGACACAAGAGATCGTGGACTTGGATGAGGCAGAGGCCAGGCACAAAACAAACCTGAGTGCCACGCCTCGACCTGTGTGAGCAGAGGGGCCTTCCCGAACCAAGCTGAGAGAATAGACGGCAACAGACGGCCGAGTGCCTGGGGAAATACCCAGAAGCCCAGAGGACTGGGGAGATGTGAGAGGGAGCTGGGGTACAGTGCCGTGAGGACCCTAATACCTGGCCCATTACTGTCTCCGGCCTTCCTGTCGCTCCTCCCTAGTTTACTGTTGAGGGTTGGAAACGCCCGCTGGCAAGCCAAGGAAGGAGAACGGATGCCTTTTCAGGGAGAAGCCCTTCTCAAACAGAAGGCACCACGCAGCCCTGCTTGCGGGCGAACCTCCAGCGGCCTGACTTCCAAGGAGGGCAAAAATGGACCACGTGGGTCTAGGAGCCTCTTAGGGATGCCCACACAGCAGAGGAGGCTCGCCATCACCATCCTCAGGAGCATGGCCCCCCGCTAGTACCTATTCTGGATTGTGAACCGCGGTGCTGCCCACAGCCAACCAGAGAAGCGCAACGTCCTCTAAGCTAAATAACTTTTCCACTGGTAGGAGATGTTCCAAACAGAAGCAGTCTCCTAAGTCCCCCAGACTCTGGAACGCAGGCCCCCGTGCTCCCGTCTCCCTGATTTGGAATTCTTGAACCTTGGTGACCTTCAAAATGACACTCCTGCACGTCTGCTCGAGACCTCTCCACCCAGCTGGTAAACCCGGGCTGAATGGTCAGTTGACTTAATTTCATCAAAAAGCCACTTCCCCCAGAGAATTCATTAAACTTGAGGGGCAAAAAGCTGATTCAAAGACAGCAGGCTGCGAGGCTTCTGGGTTTTGAGCCGAGCAGCCAGCAGCTGAGAATTACCCAACAGAACAGAACAGAACCGATCTCTGTGGTCAGAGTCCGGGCCTGTCTGGTCATGGTGCTGGCTCAGGCCAAGGCGGCTGTTTATGGGAAATGACTGATTGATTTTATCTTGGAGTCCGGCAGCAAAGAAAGGTCCCCTCAGGTGATCCCAGCTGGGCGGCCCACCCGAGAAGAGATGGAGTGAGAATCGGAGCGATCCAAGCTGCTGGCATTTGTCTCGGCCTGAAGGGCCTGAGCTCCCGGGGAGCTGGGCTGGGCCCACACTGGGTGGCCTGGCTCCTTACCTGACTGGGCGGACGGGTAGGGGGTCCAGGGTGGGGGGAGGAGGGAGTGGAAGCGGTCACGATAGTCATACAGATACGGGATCGGAACAGCAGGTCCGGAAAGAGACTCGCCCAGATGCAGGCGATGCGCTTGCAGCAAAGGTGCCAAGTATCTCCATGGAGAACAGACAAGCCTTTCAAGAAATGGCCCAGAGACAACTGTACATCCACAGGGAAGAAAGGAATCCCGCCCCTGACCTATGCCACACACAAAGATGATCTCAAGATGGATCACACAGCTACAGGGAAAGCCAACAAGCTTACGGAAGCAGTCCCAGGAGGAGGGGGAGTTTGACGAAAGGGGGCTGGAGGGGGCTTCTCCCTGCAGCTGAGCTAATCGCCGGCCAGCAGGAGGTACACACGAGAGCCCAGAAGCCCTGGTGGTGCCGAGAGATTGTAAGTCTGCTGTCAGCAGAGCACGTGGTCAGTAACTGGCCCAGGGACAGGGACAGCGGCCTGAGACTGTCATCTGAGGGTCATCGGGAGGAAAGGGCGAAAGCACAGTTTCACGCTCAGGACAATGTCCTCGGCCCCGCCTCCAGGCTGGGCCCTCATTAGTAGGAGGACGTCACTCCAAACACTCAGCTGGGCCTGTCTGAGCTGGTCCAGCCCCAAGCAGGCCTCTCCCCTCCCAATATTCCAGCCGCCTTGGAGCCACGTCACAAGTTAGAAAAAAAGGCCATTTAGAAATTCTCTCACTGAAGAGAGATTTTTTTCGTCTGATAAGAGGTTAATGAAAAAACAAAACAAAACCCAAAACCCGAGGTATCATTTCTCACGCGGTTCCAGCTGACCGTCTGAGCCTGCCAAATCAAAACACATGTTACTGTCACAACTACCACAGGAGAGCAAAACTGGAGGCAGGACAAATCACCTGATTCTGTTTATTTACCAACGTGCACACACCCTGTGGAATCTAATTTGGACACAGCACAACTCAAGTCTCCCCGTCCGCGCCTTCCTAGGCTGCCCCACATTTCAAGGCTCCGGCGTCGCGCTTTGAAAGTTTCAGGTGGACGGGCTGGCGTGCAAAGCTGTGTGTGAATGCAAAACAGTGTAGCTGCAGGTTGCGAGTAGGGGCGGGTCCATGCGCCTCCGGAAGGAGCGTGTGTCTGGGGGTGGTGCGTGCTCGCAGGGGAGATGGGGGGTATGTGTTCCTGGCTGTGTTGCACGTGAGCAGCGCCGATGCTGGAACGTGAGCGTGTGGCGGGTTGCCCCGTGTTTGGGGGTGCACGTGTGTACGGCATGAAGGCGAGGGCCGACTCCTGGCTCGTGCAGCTGGGAGCATATGCTGTGTGTGTTGGCCGGACGGAGTGTCCCTGGCAGCAGCTCAGGCCGAGGAGGTGGAAGCCTCTTCCAGAGCAGCTCTGCATTGCAGGGCATGGGGGTACTTAGGAAAGCCCCCTGCCCAGGCTGGAGGGGAGACTCCTCGACAAGCCCCCTTCCTGCCCTGGTCTCAGGCCCGGTGCAGGGAGTAGGAGGAAGCCGGAGGCAACTTCATTTATGTCCCTGGAAGAGACACTGGCCGCGCAGGACCACCCAGTGGCCTGCTGGGTCAATGAAAACCATTCAGAGGCAGCCTCTTGGCTAGACAGCGAGCCCACACAGAGGCCCTAATCAAAGCCACATTTGGTTGGCAAAGTCCCATCGCCTGAAGGATTCAAGCCATGCAGGCAGATTTGGCCTTGTTCAACATCACAGCTCTCTGACGACCACAGCCATCCCATGACAGAATGTCTTCCATCCCCGGGGGCTCACTTCCTCTTGTAGGAGGGATTCGAACAGAGGCTGCACTGGAGGGAGGTCGGACTAGAGACAGGACCTCGGGGGACCTTTCAACTCTAACCTCCTGAGACTCTGTATTTGTTTTAGTATTGAGGTGAAATTCACATAACACAAAATTAACCACTTTAAAGAGGATAAACATTTACTACATTTGCCATCTTGTGCAATCATCACCTCTAGTTTCAAAACATTTTTATCACCCTGTGATGGACTGAATGTGTTCCCCAAATTCAGACGTTGCAGCTCTAACCCACAGTGTGGCTGTTATCTGGAAATGGGGCCTCTAAGGAAGTAATTAGGGTTAAATGAGGTCATACGGGTGGGGAAGAAGTGACACCGGAGAGCTCTTTGTCTCTCCTCACCGAGGAAGAGCCACCTGCAACGCAGAGGGAGCTCTCACCGGACACCAACCCTGCCAGCACCTTGACCTTGGACTCCCCAACCTCCAGAACCGTGATTAATTACATTTCTGTTGCTTAAGCTACCCGGTATATGGTATTCTGTTACAGCAGCCCAAGTCGATGAACACATACCCCAGAAGGAAACCTCGTATCCATTAAACAGTTACCAGTCCCCTTTTGTCCCAGCCCCTGGCAATCACCCATCTTTATTCTGTCTCTATGGATTTGTCTATTCTGAACATTTCATATAAATGGATCATACAGTATGCAACCTTTGTGTCTTGCTTCTTTCACTTAACATGTTTTCGAGGTTCATCCACATAGTAAGGTGGATCAGTACTTCACTCCTTTTTATGGCTGAATAATATTCCATCATATACCCGTATATCCAACGTGGACAGACCACGATGTGTTTATGCATCCATCCTTCGATGGACATTTGGGTTGTTTCCGCCTTTTGGCTACAGTGAACTGTACTGCTATGAACATGCGTGTACATGTATTCGAATATCTGCTTTTAATTCTTTTGGATATAAACCGAGGAGTGGAATTGCTGGATCATACGGTAACCCTATGCTTAGTTTCCTGAGGCACTGCCAAACTGTTTTCCACAGTGGCTGTGTCATTTTGCATTCCCACCAACAGGTTGAAACTCTTCGTTAACAGATGGAGTGGAGAAGGCTACAGTCTTTCCCCAACTAGGGATCTTTCTGTGGCTGGGAGGGTGGGGCTGAGCCTCTCCCAGCCCGGGTCCCACCCAAGGAGGTCTGGACTGTCACAGCAGGAGGGGGAGGGGAGCCTGGGCCTCAGGCCCACAGAAGAGAATTCTAAACAAGGGGACTGGGTGTGGAATCCCGTCACACCTAGTTTCCTACCAGCCTGCTCTCAGGGAGAGGGGAGCAGGGGTTGGCATCTGGAGGCTGGTTCCCAGCTACCAGGTGACAGGGCAGAGGGGGTCCTGACATACTCCAGCATCTGGCAGGAGGCCCTTGGCCGCTAGACAGTAGATAATATGGAAGTGCCAACCTTGAGGGTGAATGCCCACACCTGGAGTCATGGCTGGCCAGCTGGAGCCATGAATGCCCACTTTGAACCATGAATGTTCCCCTTGAATCATGAATGTCCACCTTGAACCACAGGCACTCACCTTCAGCCAGGTCTATGGAGACCTCCCCATCCCTATGGGACCATGGCAATGATCAGTGATCAGTGAAAAGGGACCCCCACCAAGTGTCCCCTCTCCTTCCCCACCCCCATTACTGTCCTCCCTACTCACCCCTCCTCCTGAGCAGCCAAGGAGTTCTGAGACAACTTAGCTAAGTTCTTTGCATATTCTTCTTCAATCTTTATCCTGCAAAGGGAGAAAATCCAACATGTCAGCTCCCCACCACTAGACTGTGGGTCTGACCTGCAGCCCTGCTACTTATTAATAACCATGTAAACGAACCTGCCAGACCATAAGCTCTGCGAGTACGTGGGCTCTTGTCTGTCCACCTGACACATAGTAGGTGCTTAATCAACACATGTTGAATGAATAAATGAACGGAATTGTCTGAACCTCATCTGCAAAGTGAGGCATATGCACCAGTGTCCTAGGCTGTGTGGATAAGAGCGGTCATTTGCCCAGTTCCTAGCACAGGGCTGGACACACAGCAAACACTTAAACGAAGAAATGTAACTCATGATGGACCACGGCTGCCCCCTCTCCCAGCCCCAGAGCTCTGGGCTGAGAGCCTGCAAGGTGGCGTCAGCCCCTCCGAAGCAGGAACAGAACCCCTCTCTACATTCTCCCAGACCCCAGGGCCCCCAACTTCCAAGCCTGCAGGGTGCAAGCATTTCCATGGAAACCAGCAGTGCCCAGCTCTGCGGTGGATTCCACTTCCCCAGAGAGGGAAGTTGCCTTGGATTTCGCTTCCGGCAGGCAGGCCCTTGACACACTTTCAAGGCAGCTCTCCGGGGAGTGTTCAGTATTATCTGGCACAACCATGTAAAATGTGTTGTCATGGTATTAGTCACTGCCTAAGTGGTCCCCCGAGGAGCTGTGCTTGTGACGACCAGAGCTGGCCAGAGGGCTGGGGCCTCAGAGAGGCCCCTGGTCCATCACTGGGCAAATGAATAAAACCCCAGAGCTGCGCCCAGGGCTGCAGCATTTGCTTCCAGGCTGATCAGGAGCTGAAGGGTGGCCTGACAGAGTCCCAGGGCAGTGTTCTGAGTCATGATCACTTCCTGCTTCGGTGCTGAGAGGCTCAGTCTCGCTCCTCCTCTCACTACCAGCTCCGCCGTCTCCACATAGTCTCAAGCCTGCCTCCATCACTTCCTCTCCATCCACTCAGCCTTTAGGACATGGACGGCCAGCCTCCAGCCAGGAGTTCTCTGGAGAAAGCAGATCTCACCATGTCACGCTCTCAGCTTCACACCTCCAAAGGCTCATCAATGCCCACCGCACGCACCGGGCACGAGGCCTGTCCCCTCCAGAGCCGGCATCACGCCCCTAAGCTGTGGCCACGTGGTTTACCGGATGTCTGCCATGCCCCACCCCCACCGCACTCCCTAGCCCCGGCCCAGCTCTCACCTCTGCACCTCAGCTCCCACCCCTCCCGGCTCTGAAAGGTCCCCCTCTACAAGACCCCAGGTGGACTGAGAAAAGTCACAGAAGTCCACCTGTCCCAGGGAAGACCAGTGTCCTCATGTGGAAGGTTCCAGTTATTTGTTAACATGACCTCTTTACTAAAGTGTAAACCCTAAGTTAGGGTTTTCTAGCCGTTTTCCTCTTGGCCTGTTTCCTACTGTTGTTTTCTCACACCTGAGCTACAGAATCTCTCAATCTCCTACCAGTTTAATGGGCCATAAAATAAAGATTTGATTATACCAACAGAAAGTAGGCCTCCTAAGGAAAACAGATACCTTAAAATGCCAGAGAATTGTTACTGGATTATTGTTGCTATAATTAAAAGAGAAACATTTTAAAAATATATTGCCATTTACTATCAATATTTCCAGTGTGCCTTGGAAACTTCAGACGGCACACATGTGGAACGGGGGGGGGTATGTGCACCTGTGTGAGTGTGCAGGTGTGTGGGTATGTGCTTTACAGGGTCTCACAACTTGGAGAGACTGAGGAGGGGGGAGATGAAGAAGGAACTTCTCTCTGTAGCTCTCCCCACTTCCATTAGGCTGAATTTATTGTTTCATCTATGGGCAGGCAAACCACTATTATAATCCCTGCACTTACCGTAATGACCTTATCTGACTCTCCCAGTAGGCTGAGCTCCCTGAAAGCAGGAATGGGAGGGTGGGGGTTTCTGGATGCCCAGGCCTGGCACATGGCTTTGGCTCAAAGATGGATTGAAAAGGTAACAGTCTCCTTTTGTGTTACGTTAAGGAACGGCTCTTCAAATGAGGGCGGCGCATGCGTAGATAAGCAAAGGGCCCAAGCAGTCTGCGTGGGGAGACATTAGGGAGCAGTGGGGACTGTGGCAAACTGGAAACACACACTCCCTGTACAGGGGTGGCTGCTCTTCAGCTCCAGCCAATTGTTGCATGGGGGATGCAAAGCCATGGAGCCAGACTTTCTTCTTTCCCCAGAGATGTCAGATATGCAGACTTTAATGTAACATCCACCAATTTTTTTTGCTGTTGTTGGTTCATATCTTTAAAAACATCACACAGGCCAAAGCAACACATCTGCTGGCCAGACGTGTCCCAAGGGCCATAAGCCTGTGACTCCCGTTTTGCGCTCCCCTTAGCGCTAACCAAGCCCAGTGCTGGCGCGCAGTGCTCACCCTGGCTGCTCACTCCCTCGGGCTCAGGGACCGAGGTGGGTGCTGTCACCAGTCCCCGGAGCTGGGAGGGCCCAGGCCTCACCTTTCCCGGATGAACTCTGACATTTCTTTCTGCATCTGTTTGCCCTTCAGCTGTTTCTGAAGCAGCAGTTCAAACCCAGCCATGGTTCCGTTGCCTTGGGGGTCCTTCTTATCAGCCTAGGAAGGAAAGAGAAGCAGCAGCGTTTAGGTGACATCAGCGTCTGGAGCCAGAAGGAATGGAGCGCAGGGAAGACAGACCCCAGAAGGGACCCCGATGTGCCTGGTAACCCTGTCCTCAGCCCCAGAGGCAGGACAAGGGCAGGAGTATTGGCTGCTCCAGCTTGCGCCTCTCCTGGCGCTCCTGTCCCCAACGTGCTCTCTGATGCTTAAGCCCTGATCGCTGCCGCCACCCCATGTGCGTGCCCCTCAACCCCACAACCTGGGAAAGAAGAGGAGGAAGGGTATGTGGCCAAGAGCACAGGCACCAGGCAGCTGCTGGGGCTGGCTAGACCCTCTGCGGAGTCTTGGCATCTTGAGTAAGCTGGGAGACAGTGTATAACCTCAGGCGCAGGTACCCCCAGCCCTGAGCCATGCCATCCTCTCTTGCACTGGCTGGGCAGTGGCATCCTCCAACGCACATGCATAAAAGATCGTAGTGACTTCTGGGGAGAAGCTGGATTGAAGGGCAGCCGCAGTGGGAAAGGGCCCGCTTCCAGGCTTGACATCCCAGCCGGGGAATCCCAAGCAAGTTCCTTCACTTTAAATCTGAGCTGCTCATTCCATGAAACTGGGGAAATAATGGCAACCACCTGACGCGGTCATCTCAGGACAAATGACACATGGAAACAGCTTAGCCTAGTGTTCAGCAAATACCAAGTCTTCGGTGGACGGTATTTAAATTAGTTACTTTAAAGAAACGTCAGGACTTGGGGAAGATGGCCAAGTCATTGAAATGGGAATTTAGTACCCAATTCATTTTGCAAGCAAAGATTAACATTTCAAAATTAAATGCTTTTTGTTTTGTTTCGCCTGACCCTCCTCTAAGACGCCTGAATCTCTCTCTCCTGCTCTCCGCCGGCCCTCCCTGCCTCCCTGGTACCCCGAGCATGGCCTTCCCTGCCAGACAGGCATCCAGCAACTGTTCCCACAGCTATGGCTGCAGATCAACCCTCAGAGCCTTCCTGGACCCTGGCGGGCGCCACTCCTAGAGCTATCCCCCCTCCAAGGCAGCCTTTCCCACCAGGGATCCAGAGTCAAATGCTTTGATACTTAAAGGGAGGAGTTGGAAACAGATCAAAATAGGGCTTCCCTGGTGGCGCAGTGGTTAAGAATCCGCCTGCCAATGCAGGGGACACGGGTTCGAGCCCTGGTCCGGGAAGATCCCACATGCCGCGGAGCAACTAAGCCCGTGTGCCGCAACTACTGAGCCTGCGCTCTAGAGCCCGTGAGCCACAACTACTGAGCCCGCGTGCTACAACTACTGAAGCCTGTGTACCTAGAGCCCCCCGTGCTCCGCAACAAGGGAAGCCACCGCAATGAGAAGCCCGTGCACCGCAACGAAGACCCAATGCAGCCAAAAATAAATAAATTAATTAAAAAAACAACAAAAGAACAACAACAAAAAAATAGGTCTTTTGCCACCACAGAGAGGAGCATCACTGAGAACCCTGTCCCAGGATCTGGAAAGACCTGGGCACTCTCTCAGCTCAGCCACTGGGCACAGCGGTCAGGTCCTTCCAATTCTAGGCTGTGTCTCCCACCACTCACCCTAAAATAAGAATGGATTGCACCTCTAACATCCTGTTAGAACAGCTGTTTTACGAGAGGGGAAAAGAAAAGGGCTGGTGACGCCTGGAGAACGCCACTTACCTCCCCATTCCCTCCCAGTGCAGGATCCCTTCCTCAGCTGCCCTGACCCAGGGCCCTCTGAGCCACACTGTAATACCTCTCTTGACGGGGAGATCACCACCACACGGGGCACAGCATGTCACAAGGGGGCTTCTCTGGCCATTGAAAAGTTACTCCAAGTACATGTAAGACGTGTGCCCTCCATTGTATGAATGCTACATCTTGATGAAAAAGCCAAGGAAAAATTATTTGAAATACTGAGCCCCAATCTGCCTCCCCGAGAGGATGTATATGCTGAGCGATTTGTCCACACTGGGAAAACCAGCCCGAGGAAGTGGGCTTTAATAACCGTGTTAGCAGAAAAATTTCTGTGAGGGGAAAAGGCCTCGATGGTCCGAGAGATAAAACCCTGGGGTAAGCATCAGAGTCCCAGGAGGGCTTGAATCAAGATGGGACCTGGATGATGCTGACCAGCAGCAGGATTACCCACTCCCCCTGGCTCCCTACCATCCCCCACCATCCGCCACCCGCTGACCTCCGGCTCCCAGGGTGCCCATTCCCGGTGCTTGAGCTGGTCTTCCCCGCATGCTCTGTTTCCTGCTCCCCTCTTTATGGATGACGTCTCTCCTGCACCCACCCCCCTTAAGGATGGTGTCTCCAACCTAGCTCTTCCCCTCCATCCCCACAGCTGTCACCATCTTTCCTGGCCTCCCACAGGTTCACGGGCACTTCTGCCTGTTTACAGCCCTCCTTGCATGACACAGGCAAATCAGATCACATCCGATTCCTGCTTAAACCCTCCACCACCTTCCCGCTGCAAACAAAATAAAACGCAGCATACTTATGGAGGCTGCGAGGTCTCGTACACTCGGATTCCCTGCTCACCCTCACCCCTGGGCTCACCCCCGTCCCCGAGGTGTGCCTGCCGCCAAAGCCAGAGCCCTTTCTACAATATTTGCTGCCTCTGCACATATCTCAGAAGATCTGGAAGAAACACAGCAAAAGGAATCTTTGGCTACCTTCTGAAGGGCGAGAGATTTGGTAGAAAGACAAAAGCATTTGGTTAGCAAATCTAAAAAAGGGTAGATAATCCATTCTGACTGGTGGTTAAAAAAAAAAGTTTGGATTTTTAAAATTTCTCGTTCCTTGGGGCCTCTGCCAAAGTTTACTTTTTTTAGGTGTACAATTCACTGGTTTTTAATATATACACAGGTTGTACAACGATCACCACTGTCTGATTCCAGAACGGGGTGATTTCATTTTAAAAGCCATTGTGAACTTTACAATGAAAATGTCCAGGAGTACTCCCAGAGTTTCTGAGTAGGACTCTCTGTATCTGCCAAAGGATATTTCTTTAATTTTGGAGAACTACACACAAAATTTACCATCTTAACCATTTTTAAGTGCACAGTGCAGGGGCATTAAGGACATTTGCACTGTTGTGCAAACATCACCACCATCCCCCTCCAGAACTTTCTCATCTTGCAAAACTGAAACTCCGTACCCATGGAACAATACGCAAAAGCTCTGGAACCACAGAATTATTCAAACTGGAGTCCCCTACAGATTGTGCCTAACCTCCTTGTGACTTTGATGGAAACAGGGAGGCTGTCCAGGAGGAGAAACACTGTCCAGGGTCACCTACAAGAGTGACAGAGCAGGGGCTTCCCTGGTGGCGCAGTGGTTGAGAGTCCGCCTGCCGATGCAGGGGACACGGGTTCGTGCCCCGGTCCGGGAAGATCCCACATGCCGCGGAGCGGCTAGGCCCGTGAGCCATGGCCGCTGAGCCTGCGCGTCCGGAGCCTGTGCTCCACAACGGGAGAGGCCACATCAGTGAGAGGCCCGCGTACCGCAAAAAAACCCCCAAATAAATAAATAAAAAATAAAAAGAGTGACAGAGCAGGTCTGAAGCCCAGGTTGGAGCTGATTCTGGTCTCCTGCTACCACTGAGCGGCAAGGGGATCCTCCAGCTTACCTGCATTCTGCCTGGAGTTTCCATATTGCCCTGCGGACTTTCTGAGATTTATGGAATGATCCAGACTCCAAGTGGGACTTAAGTTTCCAGCCTCCAGTGCTCAATCGACTGCCAGCCCGTTAGGTTTCACCTGGAGAGGTCGCTCTGCTTTGAGCTCAAGCCACCGGCCCCTCCCGGGGGTCCACTCCTGGTCCCTGGGGCCGCAGTGCAGGGGACGCCGAGGCACCACTTACCCAGAAATAGTCACAGTAGCTCCATTCGGTTGGTTTGAGTAGCTGCTGCTCCGGCATCGTGTCTGGGTGAGGAAATGTCACGCAGTTTATCTGGAGGACACAGAACAGGAAAGAACGCGGCTTGGATGGCGGGTTGGGAGAAGCTGGAGAGGCTTGGGTCCTAGGACACGGCACTGAAGAGGTCCCCCTACAGGGCTAGCTTGATAGAGAACATGCACTGGGGTCCTGGGATGCTCTGGCAGTCGGCCTTTCAAATGAGGGGCAACCGGCACTCACCCCCACCCCAGAGGGGCTGAAATCAGTCCAAACTGTCTAGAGACCAGTGCGACAGAAGCTAGCAACACTGCAAATGTCCACAGCCTTCCACCCAGAGGCTGCACTTGTAAGATTCTATCCTATAGATACCTACACACGGGTGCAGTGACATACGCACACGGTTTTCACCACGGCTCGGTTTGCAGTAGCAAAAGGCTGGAGCGCAACTCCACTGTCTATCAGCAGGGGAATGGTTAAAAAGTATGAGACAGACATGTATGGGCATCACATCCATGGTGAAAGACATGGCAAGAACGTTCTTCTGTACTGATAAGGAAGGTGTGGCAGGATACAGTGTTAAGTGGGTGGGCGGCGGCAGAAAAGGTAGACTAGTATTTACTGTTTGCTATCTTAGTGTAAAAATTTTTTTTAAATTTAAAAAAAAAAAAAAAGGAGGGGACTCCCCTGATGGTGCAGTGGTTAGGAATCCACCTGCCAGTGCAGGGGACACGAGTCTGAGCCCTGGTCCGGGAAGATCCCACATGCCTCGGAGCAACGAAGCCCCTGCGCCACAACTACTGAGCCTGCGCTCTAGAGTCCGCAAGCCACAACCACTGAAGCCCGCGCGCCTAGAGCCCGTGCTCCGCAACAAGAGAAGCCACCGTAATGAGAAGCCTGTGCACCGCAATGAAGAGTAGCCCCCGCTCGACACAACTAGAGAAAGCCCGCGGCTCAGCAACGAAGACCCAATGCAGCCAAAAAAAAAAAAAAATCTTTAAAAAAATAAATAAAATTTAAGAAAAGAGGAGGAAGGAATAGACACCCATTTGGTATGTTTCTGGAAACTGATAACATCATTTGCTTCCGGGGAAAGGAATGAAGTGGCTGAGCATCCTGGGTGAGAAGTTACCTTGTGAATTTTACCTCATGATGTGTATTCTATAAACAAAGAGAGTTGAAGTGATAATCCAGGGTGCGTGCCTGGGGCGGGCTGGCCCTGGCCCAGGAGAGAGCAGCGCAGAGATTCCTGGGCTCTGCCTCAGGCTTTTCTGCCTGAGCACGATCGCGGTGCCCCTGGCTTTCCCTGCTCGGCAGAAGTGGCCTCGCCGCTGACCCCGCTGATGTCGCTTCAAGCCCCAGATCCGCTCCTAGAGAGTCCGCTAATTTGTTCTGGGAGCCGCAAGGCCTCGGGAAGGCAAGGCCTGAGCCCTGGCAGTCTTTAACCCTCATCACAGCCCCAGCATCTGCCGAAGTGGGAGCCATCAGACGTTCACGGCGAGAACAGTGCAGAAAACCCCCGAGGTTCTGAATCCAAGCCACAGACTCCAGGGCCAGGCAGCCATGCAGAGAAGTGAGGGACCCGCACATCATGGAAACTGAAGCTTGGGCTGGTGGGGGGACCAGCCTCCACTTCGGGAAGCGGGGTGGTGTCTGCGAACGTCTGACTAGGGGGCAGATTCCTCTCAGCTCCCGCCTGCTGCCAAGCCAGAATGAGGAGTCCGGGGTTGTCAGCTTATGCGATGACACCTTGTAAGCCAAAGCAGCCCTCTGCTAGCTGAGTCAGGCCCGTGGGCCCCCAGCCATGGCCTCTGGTTCAGGTGCTTGGGGGTGGCTAGAAGTAAATCCAGGCCCCGCCGGCTCCCGGGGGCACAAGCCTCGCTTGCACTCCTGGGGGGAGAACACAGGAGAAATCCCAGCCAAGGGAAGGGCCCCCTCCTCCCAGATACTGGCATCTGGCCGACGTAAGGGCGGGGATTCCCGCTCTGGAGGGAAGCATGACGACACAGGAGGAGGGATCAGGGCCAGGAATGACCCCGAGAGCCCTGGAGACAGGGAGCATGGAATTCCACCAAGGTCAAGGTAGAGGCCCACGGAACCCCTGGGATGAGATGTTTTCTCCCAATGCCCCAGTCCCCAGCCACCCGAGGTATCACTGGCCTGCAGGAGTCTGCTTGGGGGTGGCCAGCCTCTCAATGCCTAGCTCAGGCAATGGTCTCCCCAAACCCTCTTTTTGGGCTGACACCCCCAAGTTTGTCCAGAGATGAGCCTCCTTCTGGAAACGAGGGCTGGATTCCACAGTTTCTCATACTCCTTATTTCACGTTCCAGCTATTCTTGCCTCGACAAACAATGATGACCACAGCCTATCTTTATTTGGTTTAATAATGTAATCCATGAAAACTTCAAGCAAATTTAATGATAAATTAACTATGACATTACACTGGGCATTAAACATCGTGGAGGCAGGTACTCAGAAGTGGATACAAAGGTCTTCTAGAGTGCCTTGTCTGGGGTCTAGGAGACAAGGGAGGGGCGTACCACAAGTGGCCCTATAACAAGCACTGAAGGTGAAAGCTAGCGGGGCTGCGGGGAGAGAGGTTGGGGCAGGACAAGGCTTCATCCCTCTCGGGGCTCCTGCCACTCTCTGAGGACACCAGCCCTTGGATGGACTGGCCAGTGGCCCCAGAGTGCCCGTGTCCATCCCTGTCAACTCTGGTTTGGGGATTTCGCAGCCCCAGCCATCCCATAGGAATTTCCCTGAATCCTGGCAGAGCCCTGCACCCCCCTGGTGGGCGTCTCGAGAACTACACCTCACCGGCCCCATCGTGGGAGGCATCCTGGGAGAATTTCTGCAAAAGCTTTGCGTACATCCTCACTTCATCCTTCCGGCAGCCCCACAAGCTGGGTCACACTGGTCTCACTTGATTAACTGAGGATCACAGAAGTATTTGCCTCTAGTCTGGGCTGACGGCTCGAGCCCTCGCCCACGATGCTGTGCCATGGAACACGTGCTCGGTCCGTGCAAACGTTTGTTGAGCGGCTACTTGGTGCCACGCGGTAGGCTAGACCTTCCCAGCACTTTGCAGAGGTGCATTTGTATTTCTCGTGACTGCTTATTCAGCATCTCTCTTCCTTCGCCAGACAGTCTGTCCCAGGAGGGGAGGAAGCCCACCTCCTCCCCGCTGTGTCCCTAGTACCTGGCCCAGCACAGCCATGTGATGGGAGCTGGAAATGTTTCTTGGTACAATGAACGGAGGCTAGAGATAGAAGGTGTAGTCTCTGCCCTCGACGGTTTTACAGCCCGATGAAGAAGGCAAACAAGTAAATATGTAATTGCAATTCTCTGTGTATAATGGTGGAGCCAGGGTCAGAAGCCAGCAATTTACGTCACACTCAATCTATGTCATGCTACCTTCTAACACACTTAGGCGTAGCCATGCCACGTCCCCACCCAAGTCAGGGGCTCAGGTAGGAAGGGGTGCCGGACAGGAAGCAGGAGACGGGGGAATGCCCCCACTATGTACTGTTTGGGGGAAGTTCCAGGAGCCCCTCCCACTCTCGCTCCCAAGCTCACCATCCTCAAGCAACAGCGTCTTCGCTCTGGCACCAACTCTGCTCTCTCCAGCCCTCAGTAAATGGAGTAACACCTGCTCTGCCCCTGACGGCCAGGGGGCCCCCTGAGCAGCAGAGGTTCTGCCAGGGCCGGCCTGCATGGGGGCAGGCAGAACCACAAAAGCTGCCCTCAGAAACTCTCTTGCGGGGGCTACAGCCACCACTCAGGCGCCTGGCCATGGCACAAGAGCCGCTGAACACAAGTGTGACCCACCCAAGGGGCCTGGCGTGGGGAGGCCCGGCGCAAGCCCCGGCCCCAGCACAGCACGGAGGCCTCCCTGGAGGCAGAGGCCGCAGCTATGTGCCCTCCTCTCTGACAGCCGCCTGCAACATAGAAGAGAAGGTGGTTTCACAACCAAGCGCGCCCTGAATTTCCTCCTGGTGGGAGAGGCTACTCTGGGAGGGGGTGAGAGAGGCAAAAGCCAGAGTTGGGACCTGTGGAAGCAGAACAGAAATGCCCTCAAGCACTCACACCCAGTCCCCGAGCTCCCACCCGGGGACCCCAGACGGGCCATGCCGGGAAGCTCAGACTGAAGACTAGAGGAGTCCCCAGACTCTTCTTTCTAGGACAGGAGTGTGGCTAGGTGGCTCTGCTGTCACCTTTTCTGGAATCTTCCAGATTCTGACGCATCATATTGGTGCCGAGGCTGTGAACTGCCATTAGCGCCCGTCACTTCCAATCAAGCAAGCAGCCACTCAGTGCCAGCCCTGCCCGGGGCCCCACTGCTGACAAGCAGCCCACGTGTCGGCCTCTTCAAAACCTGTTCCCAGCCCGGGTCGGGGAGCCGGAGCGTCGGAATCAAGCTCGGTCCTTGCTTGTCGGCCACACTGTGAGCCAGACTCGGACGCCGCCTGCACTTCTCTGCTGCCTGGGTGAGACCAGGTAAGAGGACGCTCACCTGCTCACCCTATCCCCGCACAGCGGGGCGAGGGAAGCTTGGGCCCCAGCCTCCCCGCACCGTTCCCCCCAGCATCTCCTTCCAGGGAAGCCACGAGCTCTGCAGGATCAGGACTCAGGGAGGGGCCGCAGTGGGAGAGTGACTGCTCCGTGGAAGGGAGGTAGCCACGGTACAGAGCTCTGCAGCCCCACTGGTCGGCCGGCTGGCAAGGATGCCCCTGTCCAGCCTGGAGAGGAGAAGGCCCGCGTGGGCTGGCAGTCAGCAGACCCAGGTTCAAGTCCGGGGCTCTGGTCCTCACTCACTCTGTACCCCTTCTCAGTTTTCCCAGCAAGGAGTCCCCAAGGCTTGAGTGCTTATTTAAAACCTCCGGGGTGCGGGGGTGTTGGTTATAACGCAAACCTTCCAGCCTCGCCCCAGAGTGACCAACAGAGGAATCTGCATTTTAAACAAGTATCCCCAAGGCTTCAGATGAGAAGCACTGCTGTAGGGCGGCGGCAAGGAGGAGGGAAGGCAGTGAGGCAGGGGTGGAGGAGGTGTGTTGCCAGGAGACCCAGGGCCACGCCCACGCTGACAAAGCCCCAGGCTCCGGCCAAAAGGCAGACCAGAGCGGTGACCCGGGCCACACCGCGTGAGCTGGGCTCCATCACCCATGGGAGGCATAACGCTCTGCTTTTCACTTTTCATTTCTCTTATTCACGTTCCTTCTACAACGCAGTTTCTTCTCCCTCTTTCTCCATCTTTCAGGGGACTCTGGGAGCTCCTGCTTCGCCCCAGTACTCTGGGGCTTTCTGTGAACGTGAGGACTGTGTTCTCAGGACGTCTGCCCCGGGGGGCCTGTCCACGCCCTCCCCATCAGCTCCAGTAACAAGGAAGCTGCTGCTGGCCCAGGGTTGAGCCGCCTGGTCCCACCCTTGGGAGGCAACTTGCACCGGGAGCATTGCTGGTGGGTAAGAGCACAGGTCTCAGGTCCTGATGCTTCCCAGCTGCGCGACCTCGGGCGAGGCCCTGCTCTGTGCCTCAGTTTCCTCATCTGTAAACACGGTGATGAGGGGACTAGTGTGAACTGAGCGCCTACTGTGTGCCAGGCTGTTCTACGTGCTTTCCACACCATCCCTAGGGCGCACACGCCCATCGTCTCCCCATTGTACAGATGTGGACACTGAGACCCAGAGAGGCCGGGTCGCTGCCCAGCTGGTGGGTGCTGTGCTGACCCCCTTGGCTTCAGAGCCCGAGTTCCCAGTCCCCACTCTACCCTGGTCCAACCACCTGCCCTCCCCGCAGTGAGCGGAGAATGAAATGGGTGCTCAGAACCCTCCTGGTGCCTAATAAATGTACACACAGGGGCAGCAATTATGACTGTTGACATTGTTTGCCTGCCGCTTTTTCCTCCCCAAATCCGTCAAAGCAGGATCTGCAGCCTGCATGAGCCGGGGCAGGGGACCCCGTCTTGCTTCCATCTCCGAGAACTGTGTGACAGAGCCTGAGGGAGCCTTTCTGCGGCCCCAGAGCTGCTGCACTTGGGTCGAAACCTCACACCTAGGACCACACGTCTCCCAGCTCCAAGTTCTTAGCTGAGCAGATGGGCGAGTTGTTTCTCTACTTGGAGGGGGAGGGACGTCCAGCGCCTGCCTTCCCCGAGCACAGGGCTGATGTGGAGCCGGAGGCAGGGTGGCGTGGGGACTCGGCGGGCTTTTGGAAGAGCCCTGGGAGGCTGTCTGGCCACTCTGGGCAGAGGCTGCCTGCTTCCCCATCAGCAACTCCCAGGAACTCTATTCTTAGGGCGCTTTCTCTTCCTTTTAACTTTGATGTCTTCCAGAAGTTACCCTGCACAAAAGCCACCCTGCCGTGGCTGTAATTTACACGTCATGTCACTTGCGAGGAGCACAGCCCACCCCCTCCAACCCACTTCTGCACGCGTACCTTCCCCTGCCTGCCCTGCAAAAATGGCTTCTGCACCACTCCAACCACAATCCTTCCACTTGTTTGCCCCAAGAGAAAAAGTGAAATAAGAAATCAACAGAAGAAGGGCCGGGAGGAGGCAAGGGGGGAACCCTCGGCAACATCCAAGCTTTGGAACTTCCCAGGTACCAGGCTGGGCATCGCTTCCATTCAGCGGTCCGCATTGCCATGGCAACAGCCGAGCCATGGACCAGAGACAGCCCCAGCTTGCCACCCAACATGCGCGCGCTCCGCGGAAGCCACTTACCGTGATGGTGTTTTCCTTGCTCTGCTTTTTGCCTGGTGACGAGGATCCCAGGTTCTGGGGAGAGACACAAGAAATATCGTCAAAGCTGTTCTCCATATCGGACATCCTCTTTCATTCGGGTTCCCTGAAGGTGGAGGGATTGGTTAAAAGCCTCGGGCCGGGGAAGTTTGGGGATGCTCCGGCTGCCGTTAACCCCCAAGTCACCATATTCTGGGAGAGGGCAGGCAGGAGCCTCCCGCGCCCTGGCTTGAAGACGAATTGGAGGAAGCCTCCAGCACAGGCTCTGAGAAAACTGCTCCAAAGCAGGTCTGCCTCCTCTTCTCCCCGTCGGTGGTTGGGGGAGCTAACCCCTCAGCGGCCCTCTGCTGGTAAGTGGTTCTGCACGCTGCTTGCTGCTTTAACTGGCAGAATCCACCCGGGGAGCAGAGAGTTAAGGCCACCACCTCCTCGCACTGAGGATTCAGAACATGACATCTTATTCCAAATCCCCCGGGGCCGACATATCACACCCCAGATACGTGCAATGTGGCCTGGGGTGCTCGGCCACATCCGTGACATGTCACCTTCCCAACCCCGAGAGCAGGGGGGCTCTGTTTCGGCTTCCATTCGGACTTTGGGGGTCTTCCCTTTGCCAGCAAGAAAACCACTGTCCCAAGGACCACCAAGCCCACAGGACCTCAGCAGCTTGCCCCAGACCTAGGATGGTCCTGGAATGGAAAGTAAGGATTGTCAGGTGAAAACACCACATGGGTCCTAAGAGCCTATGACCCTAAAGGGGAGGGTCAATTCTGGGTCTTTGTTGTCCCATCAGCAGTTACGTCAGGGACTCTATAGGGTCCCTGAGCAGGACATGGGATGCCCACTCCTGTCCTGAGCCACATGTCGAGCTGGGAAGCAGGCTCGCCCCTAAGGCACTGCAGTGGCATCGCATGTGTGTCCTGGGACTCGTGGCCTTATTCTGTCTCTAGTGGGAGGGAAGGAAGTGGCTGCTAGGACTTTACAGAGAAAGGCCCAGAAGGAGCACGAAGAGGCTTCTCCAGCAAGCCTCAGGGAACCAGCAGTCCCCATCCCCAGGTCAGCACAGCTCTGGACCACCCAGCAGGATGAGCGTTTTGGGGGTGGGGTGTGGTCAGCCCCTGCCTCAGGAACCCAACTGCTCATCAGGCAAAATAAGAAGCTTGATGGAGTTCCTGCCCATGGTCCCCTCATTCCCTGCCTCCCCCCGCCTCAAGACCCCCCCTCAGTCCCTCGTTCCCAACGAGACCTACTTTGGCAGGTAAGTAAAATTAGCTAATGAAAACTGACATCCCCGGACTGTCCAGCTAAAAGGGACCTTTACGTGTCATCGTTTCACAGACAAGAAGATGAACTCGCTAGCCTTGACATCCTGCCAAGTTAACTTGAACCTGTTTCACCATCTGTCACCAACGGTCCTCAGGCTCTGGAGTGCATCAGAATTAGCTCTCCCCCATCGGGTCCCCCCATCCACCTCCCAGAACGGCTGATCCAGCAGGTCTCCGGGGGCCAGGGTCTTTAAGGCAGAGTCTGGGGGCCTCCATGGAGGATGTCTGTTCTGTTGTTGCACTGAGGCCCCCCTAACTACAGCACTTCTGTTAGCAGACCCAACAGGTTCTGGGGCAACGTCACACTTGTGACCAACTATAGCTTCCTTAGACGTGTTAAATGCATCAACTCGTCCAGGCTGCCCACCCTGGACCCTCCCAAACTATCAATTCTGCCCAGGGCACTTGCCAAGATTGGGCTTTCTTCGAGGAAGGCAGACTGAGGCTGCACGGCAGGGGCCCAGGTACCAGTCTCCAAGGAGAACAGACAGGTGCTGGGCTCTTCCTACAGGTTCGTCCATGCAAATACACACCTGGGATGGGCAAGGAGAACCTTTGGGATGGATTCGTTTTTTGTTTGTTTATTTTTGCGGTACACGGGCCTCTCACTGTTGTGGCCTCTCCCGTTGCGGAGCACAGGCTCCAGATGCGCAGGCTCAGCGGCCATGGCTCACGGGCCCAGCCGCTCCGCGGCATGTGGGATCTTCCCGGACCGGGGCACGAACCCGCGTCCCCTGCATCGGCAGGCGGACTCTCAACCACTGCGCCACCAGGGAAGCCCTCGTTTTTCTTTTTTTTTTTTGGCCGCGTAGCATGTAGGATCTTAGTTCTCAACCAGGGATCAAACCCATGGCCCCTGCATTGGAAGTGCAGAGTCTTAACCACTGGACAGCTAGGGACGTCCCTGGGGTGGATTCTGCAGTTTGCAGGGGTCTCCCTACCACAGACACACATCATCACCACCAGGACCACCACAATGCTCCCATTACACCCCCCAGGAAGTGCAACCAGTGCTCTGGCAGCCTTGGCAATAGCCTTCCAGAGAGGAGCGGGGGGGAACTCCGGGGGAAGGATACACTGGGAGAGCTCCTGCCCTGAGTCCTGCCTTGTGAGGCAGCCGTGAGGCAGGCATTTAACACACGTAATCCCACTGAGTCCCCACAACCCCACCAGGTTACTGGCATCGTCTTCATTTTACAGATGAGGAAGCCGAGGCTTGCAGACACTAAGGTGTCCAGGGTCACAAGGCAAGTAAACAGAGGAAACTGATCCCCAAACCTGAATGACTCTTTTCTCTGTCTCCCACTATCTCTCCACTTGGAGACCTGGGACAATCTCTTGTTTTTCCAGGTATCTCTGCAGGGGCCAGAAAACATCTCCGTCATCCACAAACACTGATTTGGGGGCCACTGTGTCCAAGGCTGTCTGGAATGAGGCTGGACACAGAGGTCACCCTCCTCCCTATAATCTGGGTCAAGACAGGAGTGCAAGTAACAGCATGCGGGGGTGGGGGTGATGTTCTAAGTGTGGGTGCCAGTCTCTGCTCTCCTAGCTGTGCAGTTTCAGCCAGAGCTGCACACGGGGGTCAGAGGCTCCTCCCAGGTGCTCTCGCGCTCTGTTTGCTGCTGAAGACCTGTGTCCATTATTCGAACGTCATACACATAAGCATTATCACATATATATATATATATATATATATACACACATACACACACACACACACACATTCCGTAGCACTCCACTGAAAGGCCCCAGAAGGAACGACACCTCAGTCACAGTGAGAACAGAACACCCACGAGGTAGAAGTGGTTTCTAATATGATTTCCCACTAAAAGGGACCCAGGCTCCTTGGAGAATTGGCTAATTCCAAATGCCAGGTGGACCTGGGACGTCTGTGCCAGGAGGCAAGAAAGTGCTTAACAAATGATGTGACATAACAAAAGGACACAGACGCCAACTCAAAGAGGCTCCCACAAGCCAAATCTGGGAAAACCGCCACTGGCAAACCCCAATGTCAAAGACTCAGGCCCAATCATCAGGGATGCGCAAAGCTCCGAGCGCAAAGGCTGTTAGGAAACAATGTGCACATGGCCCGACCCTATTCACCCCACAGATCTAATATATACATATTGGATGATATTAATGAACTAACGTTTTCTTAAGTGTACTGATGGTATTATGTTATGTCTTCCCCCTTAGACATACATTCTGAAATATTTACAGTTAAAACAATACGTGAGGAATTTGCTTTAAAAGAATCCAGTGGGAAGTTAGGGAGAGGTGATAGGAGTTTATTTAAAGAAAATTTTTTTTTAATATATAACCCATTCATTTTATTTATTTTATTTTACTGATCTTTTTCGATTTTTGGCTGCACTGGGTCTTAGTTGCAGCACGTGGGCTTCTCTCTAGTTGTGGCGTGTGGGCTCCGCGGCACGTGAGCTCAGTAGTTGCGGGGCACAGGATTAGCTGCCCCGCGGCATGTGGGATCTCAGTTCCCCGACCAGGGAGCGAACCCGCGTCCCCTGCCTTGGAAGGTGGATTCTTTACCACTGGACCACCAGGGAAGTCCTGTGATGGGAGTTTAAATGAAACAAGATTGGCTGAATAACTGAAGTTAAATGATTGGTCCATGGTCCTTTATTAAAATAGTCCTTCTACTCTTATAAATGTTTACGCATGTCCATAACAAAAGTTTTTTTTTTTTTTAATTTCCTTTTCCTATGATTCTAGAAGGTTTTTCTCCTCTTTTTAAAAACCCCTCCCCAGCCTGGTTTCCTGGCCTTGCCTGGGCTGCTCTACTGTCACTGTGAGGACCCACTGAGGGTGATGACAGACGAGGCAGCACCTGGGAGAAGGCAGTGTGTCATTCCCAGCCAATTCAGCGAGCCCCTGGACTCTGCAATGTCTTCCTGACCCTGTCTCCTTACCCTGTGAAGAGTCTGGGTCCCACACCCTCAGCAAGTGGGACATAGTATGAAACCTCTCAGTGGCTCCCAGCACTGTTAGGACAAAACCCAAGCTCCTCACAACAGCCTTGAGGACTCCTCCAGCCTCTTCTTGTGCCCTCCCCACACCTGCTAACATAGTAAACCACAGCCCCACTCAGACTCCATGGCTTCTTTGAAATCCTGCCTCTAGGCATCCACATATGCTGTTCCCTCCACCTGGAATGCTGTTCCTCTACCACCACCTCTTCACCAAGCTAAACCCTTGCTCATCTTTCCAGTCTTAGCTTTTCTTAAAAAGCCCATCTCGATGTTTCCACCACCACCTGGTCAGGTCCTCAGAGCACACACTCCCTCCAGCCCCTATCACTGCCGAAATGAAATAAACGTTTATCTCTTTCTCCAGTCCCAGCTATTAACTCCATCAAGACAACGGCTACCCGTGCACCACAACTACTGAGCCCGCGTGCTGCAACTACTGAAGCCCGCACGCCTAGAGCCCATGCTCCGCAACAAGAGAAGCCACCGCCATGAGAAGCCCGTACACCGCAACAAAGAGTAGCACCCCACACGCCGCAACTAGAGAAAGCCGCGCACAGCAACAAAGACCCAATACAGCCAAAAATTAATTAATTAATTTTAAAAAAAGACAAGGGCTACATCTGTCTATGACTCAGTGCCTCGCAAATAAACAGATGCTCAATAGAACATGTGCTATTTACCAAGTAGGGGAGGGGGAGCCCAATTAAGTAAATGAGCTCTCAGAATCTCACCGCCAACGGGTTCCTTAAGTTTCCACGCTCGCAGTCCCATTCCCTTTCCTCTCTCCTGTGTCTAAAGATAGCCTTCCTGGGGGGCAGTTCATGGGAATCTAAAACAGTTGAAAGGTGGGTCACTAAACGGCCTGGGCTCTGGTGGGCAGGTTCCTTGCCCTCCCAGTACCTGCACAGGGAGCAGAGGGGGCTCAAACCACCCTAGCCCCGGGCGGGTGGGCAGGCAGGCAGACAGGCTCAGATGTGCTTCTGCCACGGCCAGCAAGACTATCCTCAGCCTGTGATCCCCCAACCTCCGATCAGGTGGGCCCCGTGCATCCAAGCACCCAGGCAGCCCACCCCAGAGCTGCAGGCTTGCAAACCTCCACTGAGTGGCACCAGATCACCATCACCTGTGCCTGGCCCTCCGGGTCTCCCAGAACTGGGTGGGCACCACCCCTGGGGTGCCGGGCACCCAGCCATCAGTCCCACCCACGACGGTACAGACAGACTCCCGGTTTCCATGAAGATTAGATAATCTTCCTACCTGCCCCCTACCTGCCCAACATTCTAATTTTCCTGATTAGCTTGCTCAAGGAGGGGGCAGACAGCAGAAAACGAACACAGCAGGGGGGTGACAAGCTACTTGATCCACCCCCAACCCTGCCTCTCAAATGGCCATGTGTTTGTTCATCCGTTCATTCATTCATTCACTCTTCCTTTCTTTCAATATTATTAGGTGATAATCGTCACTAATTATAGTTGACAGCCTGGGATGGGGTAGTAAATACTATGCAGGCTGAAGTGTGCTATATATACTCTGGGGACCATCTGTCAGTAGTGCTCTCTGGAAATATCAGCCCTTCTTAACCCATTTCTACGACTGGCCTCTGGCGCCTTTTAGGACAGCCAGCTCTGTAGATTGGCAAACGCTTTCACAGCTGGGGAACTAGTGAACGAATGCATATCTGCTCTCTCCATGCACTGCACTGTGTATTCTCGTGACTTTGATGATACCTCCCCCCTCGAGATGTTATCATCCAAAAACAATGCACTGGACTCCACCTGTCCTGAAGCAGTGCCCAGGCCTGGCCTGTGTCTCCAGAGCTGACCTTCCCTGCATCCCCAGTACCTCGCCTCTAACTCCTTGTTTTATAATGCCTTCTATGACAGTAAAATGTGTTCATTTTAGGAAATTTAAAAAACACCCAAAAGTCTAAAGAGAATAAAAATCACCTTAGACCAAGGTTGCTCAACGTCAGCACCAACCATCTTTTCAACCTGGGTAATGCTTTGTGGTGGAGGCTGTCGTGTGCCTTGTGGGATGCTTAGTGACATCCCCAGCCCCTACTGACTAGATACCAGTAGCACCCCCTGCCCAGCTGTGACAACCAAAATATCTCCAAACACTGCCAAATGTCCCCTGGTTGAGAACCAGACAGCAACGCCACCAATGTTCGGGTTTATTTTTTCTTCACATGTGGATAGACTTCCTCCCCTCAAATAAGACTGACCATACATGCAGTTTTGTTCTGCTTTTCTCACTCAATATCATGTCTCAGCATTTTCCGGAATCACGACATTTTCTTCGGAAGAAGGAGTTTTCACGGCTGCGTGGTCTCACTGGCCGGACGGGATTCAGTGCCATCATCCATTTTACCCATCCCCTGTCGTTGGATAATCAGGTTGGGTCCAAGGGGGCAGGGCTGTAAATAATGCTTGAGTGAACAGCCTCACACACAGATCAGAATCCCTGAATGTATCCCAAGAACAGATGCACGAAAGGAAATTCATGGGTCAAAGGCTTACAGCAGCACACTGTCCAACTGGCTTCCCAGGAGGTTATATGTATCAGGATACATTTTGTTTTATATGGTTAAGAAACAGCTTCACAGTATTTCGGGATGTGGGGAGCCATGTTGCATTAGGGAATGAGAGAGGAATGATGGGGGGTGGGTGCGGGGAGGAAGGGGTTGGTTCCAATATCCTTGCCCAGGGTAGACCAGCTTTTCTAGTTGCTGGGAGACCACAGCAGAGCTTGGGCTGACGTCTTAAGAAAACACTCCATAGCTAGGTGGCAAATAAGCTTCATTTCAAACGGACTGAAAGAGGCTGTGTTGAGAGGGGGGCTCTGCAGGAAACACACGGAGCCAGGGCTGTGACGTGTGCCATGAGCAGGGGGTGAAGGGGACACACACGTGCTGGCACGACTAACTGTGCCCGGATCCTCGCCTGTCCTGCCACGGTCCACGCCCCCCCCCACACCAGCATCAGCATTACCCAGGGGGCTCATTAGAAACAGGGAACCTCCGGCCCCTCCCCAGACCTCCTGAACCAGAGTCTGCATTCTAACACGAGGCCCGGGAGATTCGTCAACCCATCAACATGGAAGGAGCCTTGGCCCACCTAGACGTCCCAATTCTCTTCCAGAGTTCGAACTGAACTGACCTGAGCCCAATGCCCAGCCTCCTATGATAAGAATATAATTAGGCTTCTGAGGTTTAACCTTCTTGCCTGCATTAAAGCTAAGTGTCACACTGAAGCCGCCTGCTGTCACAGACCACAAGGTCTCTCTTTCAGTGACTGGCACATAGAACCCACTGTTGTTGACAACAAGCAACTACTGTTATCACACCATCACCACCATCACCACCCCCCACCACCACCACCCCCCTTGGGGCCTGGCATTTTCACTCCTGGAAAGGGCTGGTTTGGAGGCTCCTGCTTAGGGACATCTTCTGGATAATTCATGGATGGACCACATAAGACCAGTCCTCAGTTCCTCAGACACAGCTTAATGACACTGGAAGAACTCGGCATCAAGTCCAGTCTGACCACCTGGTAATCGTGTCAACCCTCATGAGTCGCTTAACCGGTCTGAGACTCCGTGACCTCATCTGTAACACGGGAATCGTACTGACCCCTCCCTCCTGCGTTTGCACAAGTGTCAGCTGAGATGACAAATGAGAACGCAGTTTGGGAATCTTAAAACACCCTCCTGGTGGGAGGGAGGGAGACGCAAGAGGGAAGAGATATGGGAACATATGTATATGTATAACTGATTCACTTTGTTATAAAGCAGGAACTAACACACCATTGTAAAGCAATTATACTCCAATAAAGATGTGAAAAAAAAAAAACAAATACCCTCCCAAGTCCTTCCACACCGTAGCTGTCCCTCTGTTAGATGATTAAATGTGGTAAAATGTCTGACTCAGTTTCATTCTGGGTGAAGTCAGGTGGTGGGAAAAGGGCGTGCAGAAAAGGAAAATGGCCTGGCCTCATCCATATTCTTAAAGCGGTGGGAAATCTGGACTCTGTATTAGGAATCCAGACAGTGGGATGGAACCTTCTGCCCCAAGAACAGTTATAATCCCATCACCATCACCCCATCAAAACCATCCTCAACTTCTAGGGCATTCCCTGGCGGTCCAGTGGTTAGGACTCTGTGCTTCCACTGCAGGGGGCACAGTTTCGATCCCTGGTCAGAGAACTGAGATCCCTCATGCCATCTGGTGCAGCCAAAAAAACAACTGAAAAATCTATCTTCAACTTCTACAGAAAACCAAACCACAATCGCCTGCTCTCCCACATCATGGTACGTTGGAATGACCCAGATACCGACCACTTTCCACCTGGGGCAGGACTGGGCTGTAGCCACCTGGACCCCCATGGCATCCCCATCCTAAATGACACCTCCCTGGGCCTGCCTAAATGGCTGCCCCTACATCCCGGAACAGGACCCCTTACCTGGGAATCACCGGTGGATTTTCGGACACTCATGTGGGCAGTCTCAGGAGGGTGCGCTGGGGTCCCTGACGTGTGGTATCCATTCACTGCGGGGACAGAAACACCGCTCAGATGCTGCGCTGGCCACAGACAGGCCCCTCCGACCTTGCAGACCACAGGGGCAGCTGCAGCCCCTTCTCCCCCCTCACTGCCTGGTTCTGAGGGGTCATGCGTGGCCAGGACCACCTCTTAGGATCTCATCCGTATCTGCTGAGCTGGAGGCGGGTTGAGAGCATCTCTCTAATCCCCAGCGCCCAGCTACCTATCTCTTGGGGGACCAAGTTTCTTTTCCAACCAGAGAAGAAAAGAGAGATGCTTAGTAGGAGGTGAGGCCATCACAGTCCAACAGCCTCATCAGCTGTGGTCACCGGTGCTGATCAAGGGTCCAATCTCTCTGCAGAGTCAGAGGGCCCCGCCCACAGCTTCCTACAGATCCTGTCCCCGCCCCGCCCCCAAGGACCTTCTCACCCTCACCCACTGTAACATAAGTATAATGGAAAGAGAACGGGCTTCACTGCTTTCCATGAAATTTGGTTTTGCCATTTAACAGCCAGGGGATCATATGACATCCTTCTCGAGTCCCAGTTCTCCTAAAGTCTAAAAAAAAAAAATTCAAGCCTCTAAAACTCTATCCCTAGGACACTCACTCATGCTCCCAACATGACATGAGCTGATACACCTGCCCTTCAAGGGGGGGATGGGAAGCTCTGGTCTGTAGCATTTGCCAATTTCTGTGGCCTCAAGGCTCCCATCGGGGCTGATATGAAGCCCCCGACGCTGCTGCCGGGTCCTGACATCACACGTACACACCGCAGCCCATGCATCCTCAGTTCCCAGAGGTGGCGCTGCCCTCTCACGGATATAGTTACGTGAGCCTCAGCTTCTGTATCTGTAAAATGGGGACAGTTCTACCTAGTCTCTCTCTACTTTGTTGGGATGAAAATCCAACGAGACAATAACTGCAAAAGAGATCTGTAAAGTTATAGAGTACTTCACGAACAGAGAGGGGAAGGCTGGAGAGAGGGAAGGCCACTGCTTCGGCTCCTAAATCTCCTGGCCTTGAACCCCAAGCCTGCACTGATCTCTGGACACCAGGAAAGCATGCCTTCCTCATGCCCCAGGCTTGGAGGATTTGCTACAACACAGACAACTGCAAGTCGGCCTGGAGAAAGATGCACAGGCCCACGTCCAGCTCTTGGCGGTTCCTGCTGACACCACCCTGCAGGGAGGGAGGAGGTGAAGGAGAGGCTGAAATTACTACCACCTACCCATTCACAGAGCAACGGCTGGGGGCAAGCAATGGGGTATGAAGGGCACCCCATGGAGAACCTTTTTCATGCTGGGGGGTGGCCCCCATTCTCCCCCAACTGCAGCGAAAAATCCAGGGCCACCTGTGAACAGAGGCACACTCAGCAGATTCTTGTGGGTAGCTGGGTTTCTCCCGATCTGCCCGTTGGCCGGACACTCCGGAAGAAGGGTGGGCACAGACACACCAGGACAACAAACCACCGGCCACAGAGCTGGCCCCCAGGGCAGTGGCTTTTAGGGACACAAGGAGAAACAACAAATTAACCCCACGTGGCCAGCCATGCTCCTGGTCTACACCCAGGGCCCTCAAGAGGCTGCTCAACTGCTGATTCTATCCAGGAATCCTCTAGGGAAAAGGGGGGTGAGGAGGGAGGGCCAGGATTCCAAGGGCATCAGAGAAGCTGTGGCTGCCGAGGAGAATCTACTCAGGTCAGCGCAGGCCATGCCAGGAAGGGCACTAGACTTCTGATAAATACAACCCACAAGGCAGGCAAAACACTGGAGAAATTTCCCTTATCAAGGAGCATAGCCCTGAAATAGATAAAACACAAATGCTGGGGAACCTAAAGACAACAGTAGGACATCTTAATATACTGCTTTTAGTCTAGGACTGATTCATGGCCAAAAGTCAGGATGTGGAATATCTTAGTAATTTAATTTAAAAGGCTGACTGAACTAGATGGAGTAAACATCATACCTTATAAACAGAGATAATATCTTTTACCAAGAATCCATGCAACATAAAAAAAAAACAGTGTTGGGCCTATTTAAGCCACAAATAAAGTACTGATAAATTACAAAAGGCATAAATAACACAGGGCACATTCTTTGACCAGAAAGCAATAAAAGTAGATACTAATAATGAAAGGACAAAATATACAAGGTCCTCATCCCCCCCGACTCCCAAACACTTGAAAATTTAAGAAAATACCCTCTTAAATAATCTCAGGTCCAAGAGGAATTTAAAACTATAATTACACGATATTTTGAAAATAATGAGGAAGAACCTATCAAAACAAATGGGATAGGGCCTGAATTATATTTGGAGGAAAATCCATAGCCTTAATTATTTCATTACCAAAGCCAAGAGGATAAAAATAAACAGACTAAACATTCAACTTAAGAAATTAGAAAAAAAATTTTTTAAGCCAATCAAATAAATCAAAGGAAAACATGAGAAAAGGATATAAATATGGCAAGAGAAATTAATGGGTTAGGAGACAGGATAACATTTGCAACACTGGCTGGTTCAGGGCAGGTCAGTCGTGAGGGGGAGTGGAGACTAACAGTGATTAAAAAAGGCAGATCAGCCTAATTTGAGAGTGAGAGGAAACACAAATGATTAGAATTAGGAATTAGAGAGCAAACATACGCACGGCAAACAGACTTGAGTTTTTTTTTTAATGTAAGAGCATATTATTTATAATTCTATGCTAATAAATACAAAATTTTCCATAAGATTCAAATGATCAAAATGGTTTCAAAGGATACCAGAAACATCAAAATGAGTAAAGCCTTTGAAAAATGACCTCCCCTCCAAAAGGCACCAGACCCAGACGGTTTTACAGGCAAAGTGGTTCAAACTCTTCAAAGAAATACAAAGGCCCAGACTGCACAGTACAGAAACACCTGGTGAGTTTCCCAGTTTATTATACAAAGCCAGCATCGCCCTGATCCTAAAATCTATCGACAACCAAACAAATGCGACCACAGTTCAGTTGATTACGAAAATGGAATACGTAAGTTCTTACCTGAACAGGCCTTAGTTTAGAACCAGTCACTACCTTTGATGGTGGTAGGTCCTTCTAACCCAAGGTGGTCCCCATCTTCTTGAGGGCAGAGGCTGCCCTTCTGACCCCCGTCCTCTCCTTCCACAGCACCTCAAAAGTGCACCCTCAACACACCCTTCTCTTATTTGCGGCCTCTCCCAGCCTGGCGGCCCCCATGCTAACGGCTGCTGGGAACCATCTAACGCAGTGGCATTTGCCCCTAATCCATCCTCTTGTTCTCACTTCAGTTCTGGTCTGTCAGCTGTTGGCTAATTACCGCTCATGTCAAAACAATTACTGGGAAAGAAAAACTAATTTTCCATTCAACCATTTCTCCCCATACAGCAGCTCTCCCCTGACACCCTGTCTCCCTGCACTTTACTTCAACAGTTCCGGCACCTTTGGAAAAGTCCTCTGTGGGGATCTGAACAGTTACAGCTCACCCACGACGGTCCCAATGGGCACTCCCACATCGCTGGGCCCTCAGCTTACTGAGGGTGAGACCCAAAACAAACAAGGCCAGAGGTGGGTGCTTTAGAGGCCTCCAGCCTCCCAGGGGAAAAGATAAAATAAAATATGGTCAAGGATCACTCATAACCATAAGGACCATAATTCAGTTGGGGATACAAGAAAAAAACGCAAAATCCCAAATTCAGCTGTTTTTAAGATAAGAAAAGGGAACAGAAAGATCTACCTAGTAACTTCAAATACAAATATAAAAACACACACGCACACATTTCATTCCTCTTTATGGGCAGTTAAACAGACAAAGAGAGGGCTTGGGAGATACATAATGAGAGAAGGTGTCAGATATTTGGTAGAAAGGAGAAGTCATTTGCTGGGGGTGGGGGGGCGGGCGGAGGGAATAAAAAACGGAAAATAAGACCAACAGAGAGTTGCTAGCATCGTTCGCTGTCCAGACCTCACCCTCCCTACAGCTCTGACCCCATCGCCCAGCTCCAATCCGCCCTGTAAGGCAGTCTATCCTCCAAGCCCCACTGTCTAGGTTCTGTTCTCTAAAAAACTCCAAAGACAAGACTTTCTTCTTCCAAACGAGAAAATCAGCTCTGGACACCTTCCTTCTGCCTCCTGTGGGTCCAGCCTCATCTCCCTTCTCTCTGGAATAGACGAGTAACTTCCTTCCTCAACTCGAAGAAACCTGGGAGCTCCAGGGCCCTTGTTCTGGAAATCCTTCTTCCCTCCCTGCTACGACATTTAAGCCTGGCGGAACGGAGCCCCTCCCCAGGCATGTGATGCAACAACCACCAATTCTGCAGGACGTTCCTTACAAGTGTTCTGCAGTGACAGTAAAGGGCAGAGTCTGACGGCCCGAAGAGTCTGGGACAAATGCCCCCTGTTGCTCAGATTTAACTTGGTTTCTTTACGGCAGGCCTTTTAAAATATGCTGACATGCTCTGTGAATCTCAATCAAGGAAGCAGTGTGGTAGTCCACACTTACATAGACAAAGAACCCGGATGGGGGCGGGAAAAGCAGGGGGTACTGTGGAACCCACTTTGGGAAACGCAGCCGGGATTGTTGGAAAGCACGTTTTGAAGTCAGGCTACCAAGGCAAACACCGGAGCCAGATCTGTACTCGGCATCTCTGAAAGCACAATAGGCACTGTCTCTGCCTCACTGCCCCACCACACCCTGTGGAGCCTTGGAAGGATGCTCTATGTCGTATTCACCTTCCCAGGTGTGCGCTGCATCTGCCGGGGTCTGCTTAGGGGAGTGGTTTTACATTTATAGGCTTCTGGTCTGGAAACCCTTCTGGTCTTGAAATTTCTGTCTGGCTACCCAATCCCTGCTGCCTCCCTGGTTGTCTAAGATGTAAACTGTATTCCCCCAAAGAGAACTCACAATACATGTGAGCGTGGTGGGTGTGAAGAGTTGGAAACCTGCATCTATTATTCTCCAGGGCGTCAAAGGTTCAACAGGCCTTTGTAAGGGCCCCTGGGGCCTCAGCCAA